CGCCCCCAGGACCTTGTCCGAGGTGCTGGTGATGGGCACGCTGATGCTGTTGCGGGCGCTGCGGAGGCGGGTGGAGATGGTGTCCTTCAGCTCAGACGCGATCTGGGGGCGTGGGGAGGAGGGCCGGGCTCGCTTAGAGGCCCAGGGCACTGATCTTTGTCACGGGAGACCACTCTAGAAGCCCCACACCCAGCACGGGTGGGACTGCACCCCTGTGGTGGGCAGACGAGCTCAGAGACCGGTGCCCCGAGTCCCCTGGTGCAGCTGAGCCCACGGCAGAGCCCCCGGGACCGTGCACCCAGGGGGAGGGTCCCTCCAGCCTTGTGGTCCAAAGGGTTGGACCGTGAGGACGTGGGACCGCCAGCCTGGGGTCCGTGTGACCCGTGACCTTAGGCGGCTGCAGTCACCACTCGGTCCAGCAGAGGCCCATGGGGCGTCTCGGGGAGAGGAGGGTCAGGAACAGGGGGACCCCTCCTTGTGCCTGCCGGCACCAGGAAGCCTGCCTCCGTTTGGCTCCCTGGGGGGAGGGGGATGCACGCCGAGTGGCCTCTGGGGCAGGCAGCGCCACCGGCCTCGAGGGCGCTGGCCGCAGGGACGAGCCGCCCCGTCATGGAATCCACAGCTCGCACCCCAGCCCTGGAGGCAGTGGGGGGCACCCAGGGCGAGGAGGGAAGGGCTCACCTTTTCGGGGGGGTACTGCAGGGCGGGGATCCTCTCCTCCAGGTGGTCCAGGCCCCGGCAGGCCAGCTCGTTGGCAGCTATGACTGAAGCAAAGGGCCGTGCCGCGGTGAGCCGCCCCGCGCCGGGAGGGCCCAGCCGTGGCCTCTGTGCCACGGAAGGGCCCAGGGCCTCACCCCCAGCCCCGCTCTCTCCAGAGCCTCACGCCGCCGCCTCTGGCCCCTTCTCCATGCCCCCTGGAGCCAGGCCGGAGACGGGCCGGCTTCTGCCCCCGTGTGGGAGCCCGGGAGTGAGGCAGCCCCGCCTGCAGCCAGGTGCGGCTTCCAGCCGGCCGCAAGCTGCCTGAACCCCCGGTCCCTCACTGTCAGGCGTGGACGAAGGGTGCTGCCCCCGCCTGTCACGAGCTGGTACATCAGCCGCTGGGCCCGGAGGCCTCCCCTGGCCCTCCACTGCCCACAGCCCCGCAGGCTGGCCCTGCGGCCGCTGGCCCTGCCTCCGCGGGCCCCTGTGAGTTCCTGCTGCTGGACCGGGAGCTGCGGCGGGTGTCTGGTCTGCCGCAGCCTCACTGCCACTGCCGCCCGCACAGCTCTGCCCGCCCCTCCTGCCTGCCCTCTGGCCCGTCACTGTCACCCAAGGGGAATGCCCGCTGGGCATCTGGAGAGGGGAAGGGACGCGTCTGTGCCCACATCTGCACCCGCAGAGCCTCGGCGCCTGCAGCTGTAGCTGAGAAGACTAGGTGACGAGTCGGACAGACACGGGGGCAGACAGACAAGCCTCTGTCAGGTGACCGGACAGAGGGGCGGGAGGACTCACACTGGGTGGACAGCCTGCGGACCACCGGCTCCATGCTCCAGGCGGCCAGGCTGCTGGCACCCTGCACGCCCTTCTCGTAGGCGCTGCACACGGAGGCCACCAGCGGGTGGGCTTCCTTGGTGCTGGCGTAGGTCTTCTGCACGCACTCGCACGTGCCGCTGACCACGGGCAGCTGCAGCACCCGCTGCAGCACGTTCTCCTGCTCCTGGCACGGGGGTGGGGGGGAGCGGGGGTGTTCACACGGCCCCGCACCCACCCCCCGGGAAGGCGGCCCCAGGGCCCCGGAGCCCTCTGGTGAGGTCAGCCCACTGGTGAGCCACCCCCCACTGCCCTGAACCCCTGCCAGGCACCTCGCAGCCCAGGCTCGACCCCCAACACTGGACACGCTGCCCCAGCCCCTTCCCACACACGGCAGCACAGGCTGCGCCCCAGCCCCGAGTGGACATGCACGGGGCAGGGGGGGCGGGGGGACAGGGCACGGGCTTCTGCCCCAGGCCCTGTCTCCTCTCCCCGCCCCAGCCAGCCTGTCTGCCCCTTCCCCCCGAAGTCCTTAGCTTTCCACAAGCACCTCTGTCCCCCCGGGCCTCTAACGGAGCCCTGCCACACTCGACGCGGGCAGGGACCACGCGGACGGGGCGCTCCCTGAGCCTCAGCGCTTCCTGCTCCGAGGCCCCCGAGCCTCCTCCCCTCGCTCCCACCGAAGCCCTGGTCGCTCACCGGGCGGTCTCCGTCCAGCAAGGTCGGGCCCTTGTTGACTGCCATCGCCGCTCGTCACGCTGCAAAGCAGAGCGCCCAGGTCCGTCAGTGAACCCTCCGCGCCGGACCTCCAGGGTCGCCCCCGCCCCCTGCACCTCTCACGCCCCCTCGGGGCCCAGGCTGCCCTGGAGGGGTGCTCGGAGCCCCAGCAGGAGGCATGGGGTCGGAGGGCGAGTGGCAGCCCAGCAGCCGGGCCTTGGAGCCCCACAGGGATGCGGCGCCCACAGCCGGCCTGTCCCCACGGGCGCTCCTTACAAGGATCCGGGGCGAGGAGCAGAACACGAAGGTCGCTTTAGGAGTTAAGAGGTTTTAGCTGAAGTTCAGGGGCTCTTCAGAGCTAAAACAGACTAGAGTAGGTTTCGGGTGTAGTCTTTTTTTTTTTCTTTTTAATGAAAAAGTTCTGCATTCCACCCTCCCTTTCTAAGCAGGCACGTGTGCCGGGCCCCGCTCCACGGTCCGCCGGGCGGGAAGGCGGTCACCGGGAAAGCCGGCGGTCCCGGCAGCTGTCTGGGAGAGCGAGTGGCCCCAGACCCTGGACCCCAGCCTCTCACCCACCCACCCACGCACCGGGCAGGCCTCTGCGGGGGGATCCCCAGGAGACCCTGCTCCCCTTCCCCCGGTGGCGTATTTCCCTGAACTCTCAGCAGCCAGCCAGGTAAGACGGGTCGGGCAGGTGGCCGGGGACCCGCACTCACTCTGGCTGAGGCGCCTCCGTCCCAGAGCCCAGCTGCAGAGTGTGGCTCTGACAGAGGCGGTGGCAGTCCCTGCGAGGCGTCTTGGGCAACTCGGCTGACGCCTCCCCGCAGGGGGAGGGCGGAGAGGAGGAAGCCAGCCTGGTCGCTGGGTTGCCATGGTTACCTGACCCAGGGTCCCTGGGGTGCGGCCCAGGTTCCGTGAGACTCAGCCAACTAGGAGGGAGGTGGAAGGGGCTCCAGCCTCGGGGCAGCGACTCCCCCGCAGCCACTGCCTGCCTTGCAGTTCCGTGTCGTGTCCCCGGGCCCCCCTCTCAAGCACCTGTTTCCCGGAGACAAGGTGTCGGGCTCTGCGGCGCTAAACTGGAAAGCTCTGACGCTCCGTAATCTTTGGCTCCTCTTCCCCGCGGGTCCTGTGGAGCCGGTTTCCACCCCGGCCCTCCGGACCCACGACCGGGAGAGAAGCTCTGAAGGGTGAGATCGAGCCCCGCTCAGGCCGTGCAGGGAGCCGGAGCTGGGGCCGACTCCCCAAGCCAGGCCTTCGAGGGAGCAATTTCAACCCCTGGGACTCCCAGGTCTCAGGGTTTCTGGAGCTCCGGCTGGTCTGACACGCCACCAGGACAGGACGCGCAGCTGCAGAGCCGCCTGGACTCTGTCTGGTCTGGGAACGTGCATGCTGACCGGGAGCCTGTGGCGGAGGACTGTCGCCTCGCACCCCTCCTTAGCGACGGCTCGGGTGCAGCCCCGGGCTCCGGGCCCGGGGGGTGGGGGCACGGGACAACCACAGTTCTCGGGTGTCCGAGGGGGGCCTTTCAACGAAGGTGGACGGCAGCAGAACGGAACTTCCTGCGCCGGTGCGGGGGCAGCTCTGTCTCCCGTCCACGCTAAGCTGCAGGCTGCGGGCCGCGGAGAAAGAGGCAGAGGTGGGCGGGGGAGCGGTTTGACGCCCGGCCCCCGGAGTCCGGTCTGCGTCCGGGACCCAGGAACGCAGGAGGCGCGAGGCCGGGAAGGGGAGAGAGTCCGGCAGGGAGCCTCCCAAGGAAGTACGATGGTACCTGACACATTCGGCGCTCACGGCCCCCACCTGGACTCCCAAACGTGAGGCCGTGATGGAGAGGGAGGGGGGTGTCTGAAGGGGTGGCCTCTGCCCCGGCTCTGAGGCCCAGGACACGTGGCCCACGGGGCGTGTCTGGAGAGCGAACCTGGGCCAGAGGGCAGCCCCCACCTCTGGAGCAGTGGCCGCGGGCCAGGCGGAGCGCCGGGCTCCGTGCCGGAACGCTCTGCTGCCAGGGCTGGTCCCTGGCCCCTGCGGCAGCGGCGAGGCCAGGACGTGGGTGAGAGGGGAGCGTGGGAAAGGGCGCGCAGGGCCCCCGGGACGAGCCGTCTGCTGCAGCCTCAGGGACACAGGCACCTTCCTTCTTTCCTTCCTTCCTTCCTTCCCCAGCCCCAGGGGCCGCCACCCCCTCCACCACCCCCTCCCCACTACCACCACCAGCGCCGCACCAGCACGGTGCACCCCATAAGTGAGCACGACACTGGCACATTCATGTTGAAGACCAAGTCCTCGGGGAACACGCTCAGCGGTGAGTGTGCTGGCTCGCACGTCTGCAAGGAGCGTCTCTGGCTTTCCCACAGCTCGTGAGTGTGGGAGCTCGGGGGTGGGGAGGGACCGATGAAAAGGAGGGAGACGCACAGGGAGGCAGGTGCCGGGGCACACAATCTAGGTTCTCCCCACGGCTTCTCGAAGAGGCGTGCCCCCCAGGCCCCCCACCGCTGCCCTAACTGGGAGGGGACGGAAAGCCCACCACGGATGTCACTATGGCCGGCCCCTGGGCGGAGGCCAAACCCCACCGACGGGCTGATGGCGGGGGTGGGGGGGGCCCTCTCCTGGCCAGCAGTCTCGATGGGGTCACCTCGGGGGTCTTTCAACCCAGGTGGTCTACACCCAAGTCCTTCCTCCTCCGCAACGTGGGTCTTGGGGCTCCGCTACCCAACGTGCAGACGGCCGTCCTTTGAACCCTTCTCCATTCCCACAACACATTCACGCACGCATGAGCCAGTCTCGTCTAGAAATTTAATTAGATATGATTAACCTGTTCCGGCAGAGGGTGTGGACCGAGGAAAAGCAGCCGTTTAAGCCTTCCCCCTGCCCTGCCTCAGGGGGTCTTCAGCCTCAGGTGAGGCCAGGCCACGGTGACGGCCCCCACCAGGGAGGACACGAGTCCGCACAGCCCAATGACGCCAGGGTGGGACTTGTAGATGCCCAGCTGGTCCAAGGGGATCAGGATGTCGCCGAGGTTCTTCACCGTGTCCAGCAGCAACGGGGGGTGCTTCCGCAGGGAGCGGAATAAGAGCAGGAGGAAGGACTGCAGCCATTCCGTCTCCTCGTCGGCCACGCTGTAGCCCAGAGGCTCCTGGGAGGGCGACTTCCCGCCCGCCGCCCGGTCCTGCGCCGCCTGCTGCATCCGCAGGGAGACCTCATACAGGTCCCTGAGCAGGCTCAGCACGAGCGAGCAGCAGTAGTGCCGCGCCGCCCACAGGCGCCACTTCTCCTGGTCGACGCCGGGGGCGAGCCCGACGCTCCGCCCCCAGAGCACGGTGTCGCAGACGAAGTAGACCACGCGGTTGAGGTGGGCGAGCGTCAGGCACACGCGGGGCACCAGGTCCGAGGCGCGCATGCTCTGCTGAGCGGCCTGCAAGGCGTGCACCACGTTGCCCAGTCTGAGCCCTGCAGGAGGAACCCACAGCGGGCGGCGGTTACCGGAGCAGTGCGCCACAGCAGGGCGGGCAGGGCCCCCGCATCAGGAATGGGGGCCCCCCCGAGCCGGTTTTTTCGCAACAGGCTGTCACTCGAGGCTCCGTCCTCGCTCGGGAGAGGACAGAGACTTTACAGCGCGTCATGGACACCTGCGATAGTCCCGGAAGGCACACAGACAGGGGCTCCTTGGCTGTGAGCCCTCGGCATTAACACGGCCGACCGCATACTCAGCCGCGTGCCTCTCGGGCGCGCGCCGCCCCATCTGCCCATCGCGACGCACACGCCTGTAGAAGAAAGCACTGTGGCCACACAAACTCCAGATGCCTTTTTTTCTTGGAGAGTCAGGTGCCTTACATTTTATTTATTGTACTTTCCACACGCAAGACTGCTTTAAAAACAACAACACACATTATCCATTTGCCAGTTCTCTGGTGCAAACCCCCTCTGACTCCCTCCTGTAGGAAAGACGGTAGGATTTAGGGACGGGACAACTCATGACACTGTCCCGTGTGACTCCTGGTCGAACTCAGTCAGCCATGGCAAGGCATGTCCTCATCCGAGCCGTGATTCAGCTCGTCAGGGACATGCCAACTATTTACACACCGATCACACCCTCAGAGTGAGCCACGGCGCCACCGCGACAGAGCACACGGGGTGATCACCTCACCGGACTCTCTCAGCCTCAGCAAACGCCCTGAAGCAGCTACACCCAGGAAACTTATAGTCTCACAAGAATGTTTGGAATTATTATTATAAAAAATAACAGAAAATGAAACATGTACTGATAACCCTGGGAGCCGGTTCTGGCTCTCACACTGGCCGACTGGGTGACCCTGAGGTCCTTTCTGGACTCCAGAGACCAGTGACCACGGGAGGACCTCGGGCTCCATCCTGACTCTCAAGAAACCCGAGGACGCCCGTTCCTGGTCTGCAAAGCCGTCCGGGGAAGGCGCCTGCCCTTCCCGCCCTGGTGACAACTTAAGTCTCCCCTGGTCGAACTAGTTTTCTCGCTGATCCCCCAATACAAAGGCTGGCTCACTCCGGAGCCTTCACCAGAGGAAACCTCCCTTGGAGAAGGCTCTCCTTCCTCCTCGCAAGTCCACGCCCGCAGGTCCACCTCCTCCGGAACACCTTTTTTCCTCCCCCACCAACACGTCTGCACTAAGTCTACCCTCACCATTTACACCCTGTGATCCCGGCTCTCCCGCAGACGCAAGACTGAGCCTGTACAAGGCGGTGCTCACCAGTAACCGGTCAGCACCCGCTGCTACGCTCCATCAACCTGCGGTGGCGACACTGGGCTCTCCTCAAACCTCCGGGCGGCAGGCCGGAGACCAACCGCTCCTGGAAGCACGGGGTTCCCCAGGGTCCCTTCCCGGGCCGGCGGACTGAACGGGCCCAAAACACTGGCTCCACTTGTCGCCTTCAACCCCAAACCGCGCCACCACTGGTCTAAGAACGCGCATCCACCCGTTTCCTCTAGCGACCCCTCAAGAGAAGGAGGAGAGAGGCGGGCGGTCCAGGACGCAGCTGCTCTGTCCCCGGAGAGAAAGCGCGGGCCCCAGCAGCGGGGAGCTCAGGTCAGGGATGGCCAGGGCGCCCTGTGGCTCCGCGAGCTACAAGCGGACGAACACGGTCCACGTCCCCGGACCGTGACCAACCGGAAGCTGAGCTGGGGCAGCACATGCGCACAGAGCCGGGGGTTTGGGAGGGGTCTGCAGCGAAACCCTCGGCCTTTGTGGCCGGTCGTCCCGCAGGCAGCCTGAGTGGTCGACTTCGTCGGCTAGCCTGGCTGAGTAACGGAGGTGAACGACCTCGGAAGTGTTTGGTGAACTGCAGGGTCCGAGGGTCCGAGCCAGCAGCCGCTGTCCCTCGGAGGGCAGGCAGGGTACTTACATTTCCGGCCAGTGCTCACACTAGACTCCAGGGTCTTGAGCTTCATGACCACCTCCTCTTTGCCAGCTTTAGGCTCTAACAAATATCTAAGCAACATGCATGTGTACTGAGCGGCTCTGAAATGGAAAAAAAAAAAAGGAGAATGACTTACAAACCAAATAAAACGGGCTCACGAGGGAAGGAGAAACAGCGGGTCCTGCTGAAGGTGGGGTTTCCAAGACAACGTCTCACGCCAGCAGCTCCTGCAGAGCAAACTTCTGCAGCAGGCGCTCCACGGGCCGAAGGGGACAGCCCGGGATGCAAACGCAAACGAAGGTGGCGAAGCAGAGCTGGGCGACGGGCGCAGGACAGCCCCCGGGAGGCCTGCTGCCAGCACCGAGCAGCGGGCACCGCCCCCGGGGGGACAGGGCACAGAAACCCCGCATGCTAAGTCAGCAAAGATGCATAGGCTTTATGTTCTCAAGTGCAGAATGATTTTGCCGGTTTCTAAAATGAACTCCCCCCCCCCATGGAGTTAACCAAGTGCCAATGGGAGGGAGACACAAACTACGGCCGAAGGAAAAGCCTGCGGTTCAACCACTGCTTCACGTTTCGTAAGGACCAAATACACACCCTTCCACAACTCAGTTTAGATGTCTTTCCAAACCAACCACTACTTTATATAAAAGGCAGACTCACTCCTGTTTAACAGCACGGAATGTCCAAGAGAGTGATTATTGCCACAACTACAGATAGCAAGGCCTGAGCAGCAGGAAAGGGACGAATGAGACATTTTACATCCCCAGAGCGAACATCTAAATGCATTTATAAAGCAGGTACCGATGTCCTGCTGTCCCTGTGGCTGCGTTTGAATCCTCTCACGCTGTAAGTATTACTCTCGTGCGGAGCAAGGCCCTTTCCTCTGCCCTCAGGGTTCTTCTGGCTGCTCTAATAAATCTATATGAGACAGATTAACAAGAGAACAACAACCACATTTAATTGCACATGTTCGCACGGGAGCTCCACAAACATGAAAGGCTCACACACAGAAAGGGAAACTGAAGCATGTTTGGCCTTCTGAGCTGAGGATGAGGTAAGGCGCCTTGGGGCTTCAGAGGGGAGGAAGGGTGTTCTCAGGACAGTGAGATGCACTGATGGTCAATAATAGAAGTTTGCTCTGCCCTATAGGTCATAGAAAGTTATTGCTGGTGACAACTCTTTTTTTTTAAAGATTTTATTTATTTATTTTTAGAGAGAGAGGAAGGGAAGGAAAAAGAGGGAGAGAAATATCAATACACGGATGCCTCTTGCACGCCCCTTACTGGGGATCTGGCCCATAACCCAGGCAAGTACCCTGACTGGGAATTGAACCAGCGACACTTTGGTTTGCAGACCGTTGCTCAATCCACTGAGCCACACCAACTAGGGCTCTGGTGACAACTCATTAAGCACAAGGCCCCTAATTTAAATTCTTCCAGGTAGTTAACGGGGATGGGACAGAAATTCCTCTTGAGCCTGCAGAGCACTGTTTGCCTTTAGCTCAAAATCACCCACATATCACTAAGGCACACCTTGGGGTGACTCGCTCTGAACCCCTACACTCAATTAAAATGTAGCACATTTTCCCAAATGGTGAACTTGTTATTGGGGGATGAAGTAAAAAATAATCCCCCCCCCAAAGCACGCCTGCCAGCTGCAGGGCTCAAAGTGGCCACACTCCCAGTTTGGACTAATAAAGGACCTAACACAGGGCCTCCTTTCCCGAACGCCAGTCTGTTCACAGGCGCCGCAGCTCTCCAAGGGGATTGGGCAATGCATGCGAGAGCTTTCAGATCTTGCTGAGTAAGCAGATCCTAAACAATTGTTTTACTAACCAGTCTCGCTGATAACCTTGCAGGGTAGAGCCTGGGTCTGCTGGAATCGGAGGCTCCTGTCTGAACGAAGCTTGTACATATTGCAAACATTTTTTACATCTTTCAGATTAAGGAGAAAGGTCGCTTGGCTTGGTAGTTAAAGGGGGTGGGCCCTGGAGCCTACCGTGACCATGGAACTCTCTCAGCTCTGCCGCTTAAACCTTCTGCTTCAGCTTCTCCCTCTGTGAAATGGGGGTGGTTTGAGCAGCCTCCCCACAGGGCTGGATGGCAGGTCGAGACCCACTGAAAATGTCACTGGGCCTGGGGTCGCTTCCTAAAGTCTCATTACTGGCGCTATTCTCACCGGTCCGTTTGCATTAGCACTTTACAGCCAGAAGAGGAGGAAAAGCTGCTAAATCAAACTGTAAAACTTTTTTTTTAATTATTGAGCAAGAATCAACCAAAAGGAACATCATGAACTACGTAGTATTAATGCAGCATAGGTGTGCCTGCTGTTTATGCTGGGCTCTCACACCGCACTTTGTTTTGCATTTCGTTTTCGGGGTCACAAAACCCCCACCAAGGCAGGCAGGGCACCAACGCAACGTGAAGGACGCAACTCGGTTCCGTCTCTCCGTATGCACGTCAAGCGCTATTGGAAGGCTGGCTTCCTAGCCACAAATGCCAACCCAAAGTATGTTTGCTTATTTATTTATTTATTTTCACCGAGGACAGGCTCCTTCGTTGATTTTTGGAGAGGAGAGAAACATCCATCGGTTGCCTCTTGCAGGCGCCCACACCGGGGACCGAACCCGGGTTAGGGGGCTCTCCAACTAACAGCTACACCTGGCCGGGGCCCAAAGTTACTTAAAACAAACAAACAACAACAACAACAAAAAAAACCCCACTTGCTCGGAGTACGCTGGGCTGAGAATCCACTGTCCCCAGGTTTGCTGAAGGGGACTCCGACTCGTGTGACAGGCGGCGGGCTCGCGGCGGTGGGGGCTCCCGAGCCATCCCCACCGAATTCGGGGTGAGAGGGCTGCACCCAAAGTCCTCCGGTCGGCGGACGGGAAGTGCTGGGAGCCGCGGGCACCTGACTCACCTGAAGAGCCGGTCCCGGCCCTGCGTCTGGTTGGTAAAACGGATGAAGGCCTCCATGGCGCCCGGCCCGCGGGCAAGCGACACGCTGGGCTGGGTCGCGAGTCCTCTGGGACGCCGCCGTCTCCCGGCGGGAGGGCAGGGCTCGGGCGGCCGGAGGGGCTGGGTCTCTCCGCGCGCCGGGCCGGCGCATCTCTGGGAGTGCGCCTACACGGTCTTCCGGTCCAGGCCGGAAGTTGTGGTTACTAAGGCAACGTCACGCCACGGGCCAGGTGAGCAAACCCCGCGCTTCGGCATTGCGGTGCTGTCGCTACTCACACGCCCTTGGACTTCTCCTGCATCCAGAGACTTCTAGAGGGGCTCTGGGGGTGGGGGGCGTCTCCCGGTCTCTGGTGTCCTCCGGAGGTGCCGCGCGTCCCCGTAGATCCTGTGTCCTCCGGGAACCCCAGATGGGATCCTGAATGGAGATTTCCCGAAACTTCTGCTTGGGGACTGAAGGGCCCAATAATTTCCCAGGGCTGTGCCTCCTCTTCCTGGAGCTACACCAGCTGCAGATCTGGGGAAGAGCCGGGTGAAGCGGGAGAACTTCCTGTTAGGATTACGAATACAGAATAAAGATTGATGCTTGAGGAAATCCCAAAACGGTTCATATGAACACAGCGGGGACAAAAATAGATTATCGTGACCTTGCGCGACTGAACGTCTCCCCTGTGGGGCTTGAAGACATGGAACCCCGTTCATTCCACAGCAGCAATTTTATAACATGTACCCCCTGTAATCACAAAGTTAGGTTTCCTGTTTTTACAATCGTGAGTCCCTTTCCTCAGGCCTGCCCCCGACACTCGCAGGCCCCAGGGGAAGCAGAACAAATAGAGACCCACATACCGTATCTTTAAAGATTTAAAAGTTTCAAATCAAAGTAACGCATTGTTAAATAAAATGTGTTCTGTTCTGCTACCTTGACAAATACACTTTCACAATGATCTAGAAGTTGTTTCACGCAATACTGGGCCGTGGGGAGAGCTGTCCATGGTCCTTCCCCACCCCCTTCCCTTCTTCCCCTTCCTGGCTCCCTGCTACATCACTAAGAGGGGCCTGGCCTACAGCTGTGGATCCTCCAAGCCACACCCGCGTTCCGCTGCGTTCAGAGTCCTACAAGCAGCCACGTCCCAGTCACCTTTCAGGTCTAGGGGTGCACACACTGGCAGCTAAGAGGAGGGCTGGGAAAGAGACTCGCAAGCATCGTTTGGGCAGTAAATTTCAGGGGCATAGTTCCCCTGAACGTGGTCTAGACCCCAGAAGGAGGCATCTAGACTTGGGGTGGTGGAATCTCTCAGCCCCACAAATCCACTCAACCTTTGCCCAGGGAGTGCCTGGAGTGCGCAGACGGCCAGAAGTACTCTCCAAGTTCATATCCCGGGGCAGGGCAGTAAGGCAAGAAAATAAGAATTTGTTGCAGGCTGGCCCCATACCCCACACCGCAGTGCTGAGCTCTGGGCCTCAGGTATTAGGTTGATGGGGGACACAAGTAAATAGGTAAGCACAGAGCAAGTCAGACAGCAATTATGGGACGTGCTTGAAGTGCCTCTCGTTGCAGGCGAGGGAAAGGAAAAGGAGAATCAGATTTCACTCCTCACCTGGCTGGGGCACAGCCGTCTGCAGACAAGGAAGAGCCAGGAGAAGACGTGACCAGTGGGAGAGAGAGAGCATTCCCTCTGGGACAAAGAGACCCCCTCTCCCTTCTCAGGAGGTGAGGACAGGCAACAGGCTGCCCGGTTCCTTTGTCTCCATCCTGGCACATCGCATCTTGGGCTGGCCAGGAGATGTGAATAGTCGATACTTGTCTCTGCCGATGTCCTCACTCACATGAAGGGCTTGTTGTAGGGGCTCTGGCCAGGGAGCTCAGGTGGTAAGAGCATCGTCCTGATACGCCAAGGTTTCAGGTTTGATCTGCAGTCAGGGCACCTACAGGAATCAACCAACGAATGCATAAATACATGGAACAACAAATTGATGTTTCTCTCAAATCAATTTTAAAAATTCAAAAGTGAAAAAAAGCATATCATACTAATGGGGTAACAGTTCTGTAATAAATACGGAAAGTGTGAGTCTCTGGAATAAATAATCCCCATAGACTACTGTGCTAGAGAAGATGATGCAGTTTTCACTTCCCCGTCTTCTCCAAGCACCGTTGCTTGCTTCCTTCCTTCGTTAGCTCTTCAGCGTCGCAGAGCCCGCCCCGGTGCCGCCTTCTGTGATGTCGGCCCCCCGGGCCAGTCGAGCCCAGAAGGTGAGGCGGCCCCTCCTTACACAAAAGGGACTGGAGGTGCCGCCCCCCACAGAGAAGGACTGGTCCAAGGACGAGGACAGGCACCACGTCCTCAAGGACCCGGACAAGCAGCAGCGCTCCCTGCCTCAGCCTTACCGAATGATCAACAAGCTGGTGGACCTTGTGTTCAGCCGCTCGTGGGAGATCATCGAGGAGCGGGACAGGCTGCGGGAGGCCGAGCTCAGCCGGATCCAGCCCACCACCTACCCCCCGGTTTTCCAGAGCAAGGTATGGGGCAGGCGGCCGGGGATCCCTGTGCTCGCGGTTGAGAGTGAATAAATGAAAACACCTAATCCAGGAAAGCACCTCCTGCCAGGAAGCTTCGGTCAATATGACGGCTGCACCTTGGACAGATCCCAGGCAGCCTGGGGGAAAGGGGGGTGCTGGCCGATCGAGGATTACACAGAAGGTCTTTTACATTCAGCAGCTGTTTTAAAATCTTTCTGAACGTCGTAAGCACGCTGGGGCTTGAGGGCGGAGAATCTGCCAGAGCCTCAGCCACAGCTCTGCTGGCCATGCTTAGTGTAGGGAGTCCTCACCTGCATGTTCCCTGGGCCCCTCCCCCCACTCGTGGGGCACCAGGACTTCCTGGCAGGTGGGCGAGATGTGTCGCCGAGCCCCAGGTTTGGGGATGGCACTGCGTCGAGGAAGGGCCCCTCCATCATCGGTAATCCCTCTTTGAGATGCCGGCTTCTATTACTTGCAGACGGTGACAGCTGGAAAATCATTCCTTTTTTCTTTGTGTTTTTTTTTTTGTCTGTCTGTTTGTTTGTTGTTGTTCCCCCAGCTCGGCAGCGTACCGAATTGTATGGCCGTTTCCCAAGACTATGTGTTTATGGGAGGAGCCAAAGGGTTCTCCATCTACAACCTGTTCAACGCCAAGCGCGTGTGCGTCTGGGACAAAATGAAGGTTGGAGTCACGTCCATCTGGGCCGCGGATTTGGGGAGCGACATACTCATTGCTCCTGTGGACGAAATGGGTACTTGCTCTTCGTCTTCCTTCTGGCCTAGTGTCCAGGCACCTGTGGGACTGCGGTTCAATTTCATTTCCTTCCCAGGTGTGGGTGGGGCCGGGCGTGGCCAGCTCTCCCGGGTCACGAAGTGTCGCAGTAAAACACCCACGGAACAGGGGTGTGCCAGGCCCTCTCCCCGCATGTCCCCCGTGTTTGGCCCATTTAGCCCTCGCGACAGCCCTAGGGGCTGAGTACAGTTTGTTATCCCTGCTGCTCAGAGGCGTGGGGCTTCGATAACTTACTGAGGTAACACGGGGAGGAAATGGCGCAGGCGATCCTGCCGCCCACACACACCAGGGCCTGCTCCTTTCCCTCGGCCTGAGGACGAACGGGGCCCCCGTCACGGGGATGACAGTACAGGGAGGGCCAGACAGTTTCCCGGAGGGCACTGTCTCTGCAGAAGTGACCTGGCCTGACGGAAGGCTTAGGAAGGCACACCGGCAGGAGTTGGAAAAAGCCAAACAAGGGGCAGAGCGACTAGGAAGCAGGAGGGAGAGGAGGCTGGCCTGGGACCAGGCAGGGGCGGCTGGAGGGTGGAGAGCGGGTACCCCAAGGGTCTTACTGGGCTCGGTTAGACCCTCAGCCCCGGGGGGCCAGTTGCCTTTGCAAGGTCTGTATTGTGGGTGGAGGGGCAGGTTATGAGTGTCGGGCGGGCACCTGGAGAAAGAGGTCGTGGTGCATGAGGATCCCCAAGTGGAGCCCACAGGTTCAGTGGGAATTAGAATGACCGAGATTACTCATTGAATCAACAAAATGGACTGGGCGAGAAGCTTCCTGGGGGTTGAGAGGTGCGGCACGCAGAAGAGTGAGACCTGACCCTTTCCCTCAGAGCATCTGAGGACTCGCCGGGGGCACAGGGAACACCCACGGGACACAGACAGCACCCGAGGCAGCGGGCGGATGCCTGAATCAGGGCGAGAAGTCGAGGAGGGGACCGGTGCGGCTAGGGGGCTCCCGGGGGGCCCCAGGAGGCCAGCACAGGGCCGGGTGGGCCGAGAGGGCCGGGAGGCAGAGCCGCCTGGACATTGGAGTGCGGGTGGAGGAGGACAGGGAGGCCAAGGCCGAAGAGGGTGGAGGGCCCAGGGAGGAGGCTTCCGGAGGCATGAACTCAGATGACACCACCAGAAAGTCCACGAGAAGGTTCAGTTCTTCTTTGGCTCCCTTCTGCGCCTCACACTCTTCCTCACTTTCCCGTTCCAGGTGTCGTTAGACTGTTCTACATTTACAAAGACAGCCTTTTCTTCATCAAAACCATCAATGAAGTGGTAAGTTCCTAAAGCTGGGTCACAAGCTGTGGCAAGCCGAGTTTACCTTTTTTATGTTATTTGTTTATTTTTTTACTGATTTTTTTTAAAGAGAGAGAAAAAGGGGGCACAGAGAGAAAAAAAAACCCATCAATTTCTTGTTCCACCTATTGAAGCACTCATTGGTTCATTCATTGGTTCATTCCTATGTGCGGCCTGACCAGGGATGGAACCCACAGCCGTGGGGTATTGAGATGATGCTCTAACCAACTGAGCTACCCAGCCAGGGCCCACATGCCTCAGGTTTTGAAAGGATTTATGTTCCTGGGGTGGGGGGACCACCCCCGCCCTGCTCCGTCACCAGGCAGCCTCGCTGCAGCAGCCTCTGTCTCCTTCTCAGGAGGACACCAACAAGCAAACGCCCTGTGCCAAGATGGAGATCTCTCACGGAGGGGACTTCGTGGCCTTTCTGCTACAAGGCAAGGTTATCCAGAGGCTCTAGAGCGAGTCCAGATTTACAGTCTCTTCTAGATAAGTGCTCTTCCCCCCCGCCCAGCCTCTTATGTAGAAGTAATTTGCAGAACGGTCGCAAAGACAGAGTCGCCATGCCTTTCAGCCAGTGTCCCCAGCACCAATGCTGAATGTGGCCGTGGTGCCCCTGTCAAACTCCAGCAAATAACATTGGTGCACTACTATTAACTATGGATTTTTTTTCCAGATGCCAGTTTTTCTCCTAATCTAATTTTTTGGCTCCAGGGCCCAATCCAGGATACCATGTTGCATTCAGTCACCGCGTCGGCTTAGCCTGCTCCCGTCTGTGACTGCGTCTTGGTCTTTCCATGTTTTTCATGACCTTGAACGTCGGAAGAGCGCCGGTCAGATATTTCCTGCAGTGTCCCTCAGTTTCAGCGTGTCTGAGCTTTTCTCATGCCGCTGGGGATAAGGACTTGGGGCAGGGGGGACGAGACACAGAGGGGAAGGAAGGGCTCTTTTCACTGCATCACGTCAGGGGTATGTGACAGCGACGGGGCTCACCGCCGCTGACATTAACCTTGAACTTAAAGTGGCGTCCGCCAGGTTCCCCCGCCGCTGAGCCACCGTGCTTCCCTGTCCCGGCTCTGTTAGAAGCAGGCCCCTGCGTCCAGACCCCCCCGAAGGGCAGACGGTGGAAACGCCACCTCCTGCAGGCAGGGGGGATCACGGGACTTTTGGATCTGTGTTGAGACCACCGCAGTAACTGATAAACACTGCGGGGGGGGAGACACTCTGAGGCTGCAAATGCCTTGCTTCTCCTTTGCGTTGTGCCCACCACGGCCGGCACTCTCCACCGGCCCTTGCCCGTTGCGGTTATTACGACGGTGACAGAACTTTTTTTTTACAAATGGATTGCTAGCTTGATATATAACTTTTAAATATTTAGACAAATGGTTTGTGGGCCTCTAGATATATTCCCGCCCAGGGCCCTCCAATGTCAAGTGCGTGAGGAGGAGATGTATTTCGTAACGCTCTCTGCACCGAAGGGAGCTTTCATTCCGGAGCGGTTTCCTGGGGCCGCCGAACCACAGCGCCACGGCTGAGGGGGCCTGAAACACAGACTTACTTTCTCGCGGCACTGGAGCCTAAAGTCTGAGGTCGAGGGCTCCAGGTGGTCACTTTTCTTAGGCAACTTTTAGCCAGGAACCCGCCCTGTGGGGAAGCAGCTCTCCCTGGGTTGGCGGGTATTCGGCAGAGAAGCTGGGCATGCTTCTGTGACAAGATAAAGTCCCACAACCGCCCACGGGGCGTCATCTCTTCCAACGTTGGTCAGGAGAATCCTCCGGAGGCATCCCTCCCAGGTCTAACCCTTCTCGGCCACACCCCGGCCGGCTACTGATTCTGCGCACTTGGCCTCCCGCCCGAGTCAGGAGTCGCTGGGAGACAGAGTGTCGGTGGAATCTGCCATTCGGACCCTGGACCACATGGGGGCCGGGCCCGCTGAGCCTGGCCAGAAACTGGTGGGCCAGTGCAGCCACGGCGGCTTCAGGGGAGGGGCCCCGCTCTCGGGGAGCGAGATGCTCCGAGGTGTCAGCGGGTCTCCGTGTCAGGGGTTCTGAGAAGCCAGGCCGTTCCCCAGAGGCGACTTGGCGCCCACCCGCCTGCCGTTGCTCAATGGCCCTCGGTTTCCCAATGCAGGAGCTGGGGACACTTGGCTGGATGTGTACAGATTGCCCAAGGAGTCTTGGCTCAAGGAGGTGGAACACCCCCAAGTCACTCCGAATCCAAAGAAGAAAGTCAGACAGCCGCAACTGGTAGGAAGCGTCGGGGTTGTAAGTGCTACGTTCTCCCTGCCCCTGCCCCGGCCCCATGTCCAGCCCGGACCCTCCTGCGGATCCCAAGATGGACAGACGGGGCCTCTGGAGGCCGTGAGCGAGGGCGCACTGGCCCACGCCTCCCAAATCCACTGGCCTTGGTTAAAACCCGGCGTTGGAGCGCAGAGTGTCGTCGGTGGCGGGACTCTGAGTACCTCCCGCACCTGCCTGGGAGTCGCCTCCCCACCTGGAGCCACGGGCAGGCAGTTCCCCGGGAGGCGGGCCGTCCACCCCGTCCACCCCGTCCACCCCGACTCTGGCCGGCTCGCAGGCCCCTCTCTTCCCTTCCGGGCTGAAACCCCGCTGCCGCGCCTCGCGTCCCCCTCAGCTCTACACACAGGTTGTTCTCGACACACAGAAATGCGAGCGCTTCTCTGTCACTCTTAGAAAGTAGGAGGAAGCGCCCGTCTCCCCAGCAGATGTCCCCATGGGGTGCCGTGCCGTGTCACCGGATCGCTCTCCTCGGAGCTCCCACAGAATCCATTCCTTGCGCCCCTTCTTTGGCACCCCCCACGCGCTACCTTGGTTTCGGCTGTGGCGGCACGCATGAAAGCCCTCTTTCCTTAACCGCACAATAAGTTTCTGGGTTGTGAAGACCATGCCCTCCGCTTCTGTCTGTCGGCCAGCCCCCAGGTGTCATACTCGGTGCCCAGCAGGTGTGTTTTTGGAGAGGTTCATTGACGACCCAGCTGGGAAAGCACCTTGGATTGGGGGTGCTTTCTTGTCATAAATCCGTTCACCGAGGAGCAGCCAGCCCCTGCCGGTCACAGCGGTACTGCCAGTTAGAGTTCAATGAAAGTGTCGACATTGCAATAGATTTTGCCAATCAGAAATAGTCTCTTCACCTTAGGTTTTTGCAGGGGGCTCCCACTCGATCTTACCTCTGTCCATGTACTATTTCCCGTCCCCCCAACTACATTTTAACATCCTAGAGACAAGGGATCATGTGTTAAAATCCTGCCGACCCGGGGGTCGCCCAGGTCCCGCTCCTCCGTGGCTACCGATGAGTTCACGACTCACAGGAGTGGGGTGGCAGGGAGAGCACCTCTGCAGACTGCTGGGGGAGGGGCACGCACATGAAGCCCACTGCGAATTAATATTTTGTTTTCCTCCTCAGAACACTCTTGATTCCACGTCTTCGGATAATCTAGAAATGGTAAGACACTTCAAAGAAAATTCCCGGGGAGACTGAAGTTACACGTTAGAGATTTTTCAGTCTGACTTCAAATTTACCTGAAACATCAAACATGCGAGCGGAATCTCCTAGCACGACACTGTTTTTAGATTCTCCCGGCACGAATTCCTGTGCCTCGTGTCTCTGAGGATGGCCCCCACCCTTGGGGACGAGTGACCCAAGTCACGTGTCCAGCGGCAGGTGTCCGGGAAGGGAGGCGGAAATGCAGGGTCCTCCCTGACTGGCCGTTTCCGAAGCCCCAGCAATGTGTCCATGTGGTCATGTATTTCTGTAAAACTGGCAAAAGTAACATCTTTGGCAAAAGCCCACGGTCTCTTTTCACTCAAACTTCTGATGGGTCTTGCAAGATATATCTTTTCCAAGCCTTTTATTCTTTTTTTTTTAAGATTTTATTTATTTATTTTTAGAGAGGGAAGGGAGGGAGATAGAGAGAGAGAGAAACATCAATGTGCGGTTGCTGGGAGCCATGGCCTGCAACCCAGGCACGTGCCCTGACTGGGAATCGAACCTGCGACACTTTGGTTTGCAGCCCGCGCTCAATCCACTGAGCTACACCAACCAGGGCTAAGCCTTTTATTCTTAATGTATCTGTGCGTTTGTGTCTCAGATGCGCTTGTTTCTGACAGCACCTGCCTGGGTCCTGCTGTTTGTACGCTGTGACACGCTCGGCCTTCTAATCGGGCTGTCCTGGCCATTCCGAGTTCACGCGGCCACTGGCGTGCTGGGCTTAAATCTCCCGCTTTGCTCTTTATTCTCCCTCGCCCCAGCTGTTCCTCTCCTTATCCCTCTCTTTCCGCCTCCTTTGGAAGAAGTGTTCTGAATGGTTGGACTTCACCTCCTTGGCTGCCTCACCGGGGGTGCCTTTCCCGCCTTGCAGGACATAAGCATCGGTCTGAAAGGAGACGTGAAGCTGAGTCCCCCGGTCCACGTAGTGAAGATCAAACCGCCCAAGCCCATCACAGGTCAGTGTGTCCAAGCGCCACTCCCCGTCCTCTCGCCGGCGATCCCTCCGCTCCTTCTCCCTCCGCCTTTTCCCACGTTGCCCATCCTTTCTGTTTATTAGCAGCCGTATCTAAATGACAAGTACAGTTCTGCAGAGGCAGGTTTTTGTTTTTGTTTTTAAGTCATAAACTCTGGGACCTCATGGCAAAAATTCTAGACAAGGCTGCAGGTAACGTACAGAATTGGGAGATCAGGAGAGAGAGGAAGAGGGAGAGAGAGGGAGAGGGAGAGAGAGGGAGAGGGAGAGAGAGACCTTTCCTGCGCGCTGGCTGGAGCCCATTCATTCCCACCTCCCTGGGTCGGTTCATTGGGCGCTGCGGTGAGGGCCCCCCTCGCGCCGTCACTGTGTTCTGCAGCCGGAAGCGACACAACGCACTGAATACACGGCCACCCGTTTTACCAAACACTCATTGATGTGAACAAGAGGCCAGTTCCCGCAGCATCGCGTCACTGCGGTACGGAAACCACAGTTAACAAAACAAAGGGGAGTTGGTCAAGGGGCGGCGGGGGCGGAATCCACTGTAGGCGGAGCTTGCAGGGGGCACCCTCTCAGGGCTCCCGCGCACGCAGCCGCAAAGACCGGCACTGCGGAGTCATTTATGGAGGCGAAGGGCTGGTTCTGTCCATTCTGGCGCACTCGTACAAAGGGATACTTTGCAACCATTAAAAACGAAGCGGGAGAGCCAAGAAGAGCCCATTCACTCCTGTAAAAGAGCCTGATGATAAGATTGGCCCTATCAAGATAGTATTATAAAGCCTTAGATATACAGAGATTGCGTAATTGATACCGACAGAACTACGGAAATTAAGATCAGATGTAAAAATAAACGAGTGAATAACACATAGACGGAAATGTGTACGTAAAATACGGGAAGATGGCTGGAAGTGGCGGACAGAAATGCGGACGCAGGAAACAGCGGAGAGGCCGGAACAGCACCGCGCAGTGGGCAGTGGGGAGGGGGTGGTCCTGCCGTAAGTAGTGCCGGCTGTCCCCATGGAAACAACAGCGAAACCTGATCCCTGCCTCGTTCTTTCCAACGGTTCACGTGCAGAAAATATAAAGGATTTCTACAAATAATTAAGAAAAAGACAGATAATCTAGTGTCCAACAGGCAAGAGATTATGCAAATGGCCAATAAATGGATGGAAAAGTACTCAGCGGGATCAGTCATCGGGGAAGGGCAGTCACAATATTGTGACTTTGAGGACAGCTGCAGAGGAAAGAGCCCGCCCGCACCGCGGCAGTGCGGAAGCAGGACCAGCAGACCTCCCTCCCGGACACTGCAGTCAGCGACAAGAACTGGCGCCACCACTTTGGAAAACAGTTTGGTATCGTCCAGCGATGTTGCAGGTAAAATTGATATCCTGCGACGCAGCACTGACGCTCCCAGGCAGGGGCCCAACCATTCCGGTTTGCCCGGAACCCAGGCATTTCCTGGGGTACACGGCTTTCTGTGCTGCAACTAGGAAACCCGCCCCCCCCGAACAAACCAGAGGAAGTGGTCGCCCTGCTTCTCGGCGTGTGGCTGACAGGTCTGCAGGGGGATGCCTACCCGGAGACAGGCACAAAGACGGTAACAGTGACGCGATCTCTGATAGCGCCAACACGGAACCCAGGGAAGTGTCCATCAGCAGAAGAGACCATCGGCCCTCGGCGGAATACTACACAGCACCGAAGAGGGACAGGCTAGAGCTGCACACACAACACAGAGAAGGGCCACCGGCAACGCTGGGCGGGGCAAACACTGCCCACAAAGCGGTGGTGTGCATGCGGCAAAGCGAAACAACGGCGACGAGGCTGCTCCATAAAAGCCGAGGGAAGGGCTGGGCTCTCCCCGGGCAGTTGCGACTGCGGAGGGGCAGCGCGCTGTCCTCCGCCCCGAGTGCAGCCAGATGCTTGCCGTGTCACAATGAATGAAGATCCATATCTGAAAGCTCTTTTCTGAATGGGTTATATTTCACAATAAGAAAAAAAGGTAGTAAGTGAAAATAAGCAATAAGCAGTGAAGAAGACCCACAGTACTCATCTCTAGGATGTTCTGTGGGGTACAGATGCAAGCTAGTGGGGTCCAACTCACTTGGAGGCCTCACTAAAGCCCAACCTCGGGGCCCCACCCATGTTGCAGTGGGTGTGGGGCAGGGCCCGGGAACCTGCATTTCTAACCAGTTACCCGTGGACCCTGTGAGATCTCTGCGGACCTGGGCCCACACCTGGAGACCCGCCAGGGTGTCACACACTACCCTCAGTCTGTAGAGAGGAGCCTGCTTCTACACAGTGACGTGAGAAACTGATGACAGCGGCCACCCTGAGGGAGGGGCCCAGGCCCCCGTGGGGGGGGGGTCTGGGTCTCCTGGGCCACATCAGGGGCCTGGGCACTTCCCAATGAGTGCAGACTTCTGGACGTTGGGGTGGGGGCCCGGAAAAGACGTCGCCCAGTGTTCCTGCAGATGTAGGGACGGATGAAGGCAGGAGGGGAGAGGTGATGGGGAACAGGAGTGATGAGGGGAGGGAGGGACCGAGGAAGGGGGTTCTGGAAGGGAAGGCAGTGGGGGAATGTGGGCACCGGAAGAGGCGGCGCTGCCTCGCTGTGGGGCGGGGGGTCTTCAGCAATGCTGGGTAAGCGCCGGCCCGGGGCCTTGCTGAGCTGGTGGACAAATCCTTGGCCTCCTTTGCCATGAGGACATGATGTGGCAGGGGGCAGAGGTTGTGGGGGGCAGCCTGTGCTTCCTGAGCGCATGGAGTAGGAGAGAGGCCGGCAAAGACAAGGCGGGGCTCACGGAAGGGTCACGGCCGGAGTTCCGGGCAGCGGAGATTCTGCAGGAGGCTGGGAAGCGTGGGGGGTGGGGGCGGGCCAGGCGGGAAGGGGGCCCCGGTGGTCTGACCAATTCCGGAATACTTGCGACCCAGGCACCACGTTTAAGAGCCCCCTGGAAGTCTTCGCCAAGGTCGAGGGCTGCCTGGGGCTGGGCTCCGGGCAGAACCACTTCATCAAGGACAGTCAGTGGGAGCAGCAGACCGCCACCTTCCACGCCCTGTACAAGAAGTTCCTGGACGGGGGCAGCGAGGAGGAGCTGGTCAGGTGCGCGGCCCGGGGCATCCCTCGGGGGGCAGGGGCGGCCGGGTCTGAGAGCTCCTTCTGGCTGGGGGCGCTTTTCTGAGAACTCCCCCGGGTCTGCTGGCATGAGGAGGAGACGGCGTGAATGAACAGAGCTAGCAGGAAGGCTGCGAGGGTGGATTGCGCAAGGAACAGGGAGCCATGGCGGTAACAGACGATGACAGAACGGCTTCGTGCTATTTTACGCACGACACCAGCCCTGACAACTTTTCCCTGACGCTCCAGACGACAGGGAAGATCCCAGACTCAGAGCCGAGAGTCGCTGCTGTCAACACCCACATTTCCACCCCGAGGTGTGGTTGTTGAGATGTGTCCACTGGCTCACCCCAGCGGGGGTGGGCCTACTCAGCCCGAGTTGCCACGGCAACACCTGAGCCCGGCCCTGGACCTGTCTGCTGAGCCCTCACAGCTTGGGAACGGCCCTGCCCCACGCAGGCAGGAAAGCTGTCACCGAGCTCTCAAGGGGGCCTCAAGCTGGCCTGCTCCGGGGCCCAGGGTCGGACTCGAGGCCCCAGCAGCAGCCGGGTGTGTCCTGGGCTGCAGGCGGTTGTTACACCACTGGTGACTGTCCCTCGTGAGAGTGTTCACGCCACACAAAGCTACAAACCCTGCACATCAGGACCCTGGGGCTTTAAAAAGAGAGAGAGAGAAAGCCATTTTTTCCGCACACCACTGGCTGTACTGCCCCAAAGACAGAAAGCATCCAGCACTCAGCCCGAGCTGGTCATTATGGGGTCTTCCCCAAGGCCGGGGTGGCTCTGACCCGTGCTGGGTGCTCCTCCCAGCCTGCAGAGACCCCCGAAGCTCCGCCCGCCCTGCCCTCGCCCCCCAGGGCCTGCACACGGAATGCCATTTGCTCCGTGGCTCCACACCCCCTGGGTACCCCTGGGTACCCCTGGGTATGTCCCAACTACCCATCTCTGGTCCTAGGACCGGACGTCCAGCCTCGTCCCCGGCCCGGGGGTCTGCCAGGGCTCTGACCGGGGTCTCTTTCTCCCCCAGTATGGCCACGTTCCACTTCCTCCTCCCCAGCTGCGTCATTATGATGCCAGCGGAGCTCAAGGGCCCCCCAGGTAAGTGAACACGCGCAGGTGGGTGTCCCGGGCACCTGGCCGGCCACCGTAGGGGACGGCCTCAGCAAGCCCTCCCAGAGGTGCTCCGCACGGCGAACCCTCGAGCCCTCGTGAGGGGAGGGGACCAGGCGGAAGCCCGAAGGCGCTAGCCGCAGCCCAGGTGCCCCTGAGAGTGGCCGCTGGCTCCGTCCCCAGGGAGTGACCTGCCGCAGAGGAGGGGTGCCCCCCCCCGCCAGGCGGCTCCGGGAGGTGCATGCGTTTGGTAGAAGATGGATTTAAAACACCGGCAACCCCAGGCACACGCCCGATCTAGAAGCTGTGAAAGGGGCCGAGGGCAGTGGTGACCGGGGTCCCTTCCCAGGAAGGTGACCGGGCCTCCTGGGGGTGGCCAGCACCCCCTCCCCGAGAAACTCATCCTTGCATCCAGTGCTGCCCATTCAAACAAACCACTTTTGATTTCAAACCGACTTCCCGTGGACGCACACTGTCTCCCACGTGATGGCCCTCCTCCCACCCCCCGCCGTCCCCAGGGGTGCCCTGTGTCCTCGGCGTGCACTGGACGGGCCGTCACAACTTCTTCCTCTACTCGCTGAACAGGACCGCGAGGGACAAAGTCGGTAGGTGTCCTTCCCCAAGCAGCTGAGAGCCCGTGGCCAACACATCGGTGTGGCTTTAGGGGACCTGAGCCGTGGAAGGTGGCGGTGCTGTGACCCAGGGCCCTGTCCTCCAGTTGTGTCCCTGAAAGATTCCAGGTCAACAGGGACAAAGCCCAGATGGGCCCCCAGGGCTCCTTAGGCAGCTGAGGCCCAAAGGAGGTCAGGCCCTATCCCGCCGGGTGTCGGCGGACCGGGTGGCCTCAGGCCAGTCACCTGACGTCCCAATCCCCGGTCAGTCCCTGCTTCCTGCCCCCTCATCTGAAGCGTGGAGCTAATGAACCACGCAGCCTCCACCCACTGCACGCATCCGCTTCAGTGGTGAACAGCAGACCCAGAGAGAGACCCTCCGTGCGGGACGTGGAAAGGCACTTAGGAAATGTGGGTGGCGGCCATCTGTTGGTTTTGTACAAACTTTTGGAGGCAGTTACCCGAGCCAGTTGACTGTGATAGTCCCTCAGGCTACACGTTAGAACCACCCGTCCAAAGCCGCCCTGCCGCGCTCACAAAGGAGGCGCTCCTCTCCTTGCAAGGCAGCCTGGCTTCTCCCTCCGCCTGCGTCCCCTGGTGTGTAAGCAGGGAGCTGACAGGACCCACCTCCTAGGACCCTTGTGGGAATGGAATGAAATGACTCGAGAAAGTGCTCGTGAGCATGAGCTGGGGCCCGATGTGTCATCCTGAGGTAGCAGATAGCACTGCGTGGGCAAAGCGGGCGGCGATCCCAGATGCGTGCTCCTGCGCGTGTCCCGGGAGGGCAGACCAGTCTGCGTCCCGGGCTGTGCAGGGGGAGGTGACGCAGGGTGTGGGGTCCCGTGGTGGGGGCAGCCCCGTGAGCGGCGTCCTCCCCGCCAGATCCCGAGAGCGTGTGGCCCTGCGCCGCGCCCATCGCCCTGTCTCAGCTCAGCGGCTGCAGCTCCTACCTGGTGCTGGCCTGCGAGGACGGCGTGCTCACGCTGTGGGACCTCGCCAAAGGTGAGCCCCGCCCCCGCGCGGCGCCGGGCCGCCTGGCCGCGCACTGGAGCCGGGGAGGTGCTCGGTTCCTGCGGGCGCTGGGCTGCCTGGGCGTCACTCTGCTCTCGCAGGCCCCTGGGGGCTGGCCCTGCGTTCCCCTCACTCCCTCAGCAGGCACGGAACCTGAGGTGTGCGGACACTCCCCGTCCCCAGGGGCTCTCCAGGGGGCGCTCTGTGCCCGCCCTGAGCCAGGTCGGGAAGTGCGGCGGGCACCTCCCCGTGACCTTCCAGCAGGCAGCCTAGCCCCGTCCGCGCCCCACCAGTCTCCCCCTTCCTGCTCTTCCAGCCCCACCCGACGTCAGGAACCTCGTTGCTATTGAAGCTAAGAGACCTATCAAGGGATCGCCTTGGGACCAGCCGCTATTCTGGGTGGGGGGCACCCTGGTGGGGTCCCAGCGTTTTTGGTCCAGCTTTGTAGGCGCCGAAAGTCCATGGGATCCATTCGCCCCAATCTGATCAGCCTCTGAGGGAGCGTCTCCCGCGAACCAAGCCTCTGAAACGGGGGTGAATGAGTCGGCGGATTGTCATCGGAGAGCGGGGTGGCCTTCCTGCCTGTCGCGCACGACCAGGCGGCGGAGCTGGCCCTTCTCCGGGAGCCGCTGTCTAGTGGGCGGGGTGCCTCCCCCACCCGTGCCATTTCCGTCTCAAGGAGTCGGCAGTTGTCTCAACCAGGGGGCCTTCTCCCCGCGGCGCAAAGGGCCCCCTGAATTTCACCGGTCGCACCCATAGCACTTTGATAAGGCGAGAGCTATTTCAAGGGCAGAAGAAGGACTCTAATTCCAGGACCCCTTGCCCGACAGCCCGTTCTCATTTTTCTGGAGATGGATACGCCCTCGACAAGGCCCTTCCAGGGGTTTGGTTCTCCCCGCCCAGCTGCTCTCCGCTCTCGGGAGGATCCCCTGAAGGGGGCGCTGTCCTCGCACTGAGGCTGCACCCCGCGGCCCCCTGTCCGACCTGCGTGTGTGGCGCCCCCTGCAGGGTTCCCTCTCGGCGTGGTCGCTCTTCCCGAGGGCTGTTTCTGCCAAAGCGTTCACTTCCTGAAGTACTTCCTGGTCCTCGGAGGACGGAACGTGTATCCCGAGGGTCTGGTGACGTCCCAAGTGACCTGTGTGGTGCTGTGCACGGACGCCTCCCTCCACCTCGTGACCGCCAGCGGGGCCCAGGAGCCCACCACCCGCACTCTGGTTGAGAGGTGGGTGGCTTTGCGGGAAAGACGGGGAGAGTGGCGGCCAGACGCTGGCCGGCTCTCTGACTGCGGTCGCTGTCCCCGCAGTCCCTGCTCTCCCGCCACCACCCGTCTTCGACTCGAGGGCCTGTGTGATGTCCCCCTAACAAACTGGCTGCGTGGCCCAGACGCCAGCCCATGGGGCCGAGAGGATGGTCCCCCAGTTTCCCCCAGGGCCTCTGGGCCCTGAGGCCTCAGGGCCTCACCAGTTTCCCCCAGAGCCTCTGTCTGTCTTGTTAAAACTGTGAAATAGCTTATGCGTGCAAACGGCCTCTACAACAAATGTGTATTTAGTGTGAGAGTGTGTGTGTGTGTGTGTGTGCACGTGTGAGGAGGGAGATGGGGGGAGATGGGCAGAGAGACCAGACACGCGCCCCAGCAGCCGTCGGCAAGCTTAAGAAGCAGGTGGCCCCCGACCCCGCTGAGGCCTGTGCGCTCCTCCCCGATCACAGCCTTCTCTCCTCCAAGGGAGCCACCACCACCCCAGGACAAGGCGGCTTAAGAGAACAGTCGTTGCTCAGCCCCTGATTCTGCAGGTCAGCCACGGGGGCCGGACGGTTGGCACTGGCCTCGCTCACGTGGCCAGTGGCTGGCAGTGCAGGCACTGGTTCGCATCCAGGTGGCCTCGCCTGCAGGGTCTGGCAGGCTCCGGGCCTGGCAGCCACCACGCACAGATGCCTTCCCAGCCTGAGCCGGGGCCACCTGGGATAGAGCTCGGCCACACCTGCCTGGCCACACCTGCATTCCAGCAGCCGAAGACAGACTCCACCTTCTGGTGGGCGGTACTTTTTTTTTTCCCAAATCCACCCCATTGTCTTCCTGAATTCACTCCTCTGCTTTGCTTGAAGAAGCGGCACGCCGTCCGCTGTGACGTGGACAGGGCAGGCGAACCACGTGGCCGTCTCTGCACTCTCCGACCATTTTTAATGCGGTTCATCCCACCACGGGCTTTGTCACACTGCTCCACGGAGTCCCCTGTGGGGACGTCCTGATGCTCTTGTCTCACTGCTGCATCGGGTTCTGCTCCGGGTGTGCCACCCCCCCCCCCCGGGTGCTCACACCCAGTCTCTGACGACGGAGGTCTGGGCCTCGGCGGCTGCAAACAGCCTCCAGTACACCTCCCGGTGCTCGAGCACAAGGGTCCGCCCGGGGGGTGTGCCCGGGAGAGGACAGCAAAACTGTAACTCTCCCCCAGGGCGGACGTCTGTGGGTCTTGTCCCCTGCAGGCCGGCGAAGCACCTGGACGAAGCCGTCTGTGCGGTGGCCCCGGTCCCAACCTTACCTGGCATGGTAGGTCCCCCGTGCTCTGGTGACCGGGAGGTGCGAGCAGGGGGGGAGGTGTGGCGGGGAGGAGCTCTGACAGAGAGGGAGGGAGGGGAGCGGCGTGGCAGCTGGAGGCAGGGCCGGGGAAGATTGGGGTGAGTTTGGATGTGCGTCTGCAGTGGGAGGTTAGGAGGGGCTGCGCACTGAGCAGGCCCCCCCACACCCAGGAGGTGGAGGAAGGGCATGGGCCCAGGTGTAGACCCCGACCACGGGATGGCCAGCCCTGCAGGAGAGGAGCTGGGGGTGGGGGGGACGGGGCAGAGGCCGCCCCCAGACGAGGGCCCACTGCTGCCGCAGCCGCCGTTGCAGGGGCAGATGCCGCCCCCCCGTGTCCCCCCCCCCCCGCCGCTGTCCCCGACAGGGTCCAGGGGCCCGGCGCCCAAGAGCCCCCAGGTTCTCTCTGTGTTCACTTCTGACGGCCAGCAGCTGCCCCTCCGATTCCACGCAGGGGCGCGTGACCAGGTAGCAAAGTGCCCCCTCGCCATCTCTGTCCCCAGGTGCTGGTCTTCTCCAGGAACGGCTCCGTGCAGCTGCTGGACGTGGCTGGGCCCCAGGTCGTCTGCGCCTTCGCTCCCCCCAGGCCCTTCCGCCTGGAGGACCCCTGGAAGCCGGTGTTCGTGGTGTCTGCGCTCCACCCGTACTTCCTGCTCCGGGGTAGGCCCCGCTTCCCTGCTCACTTCCTCCGTCCCCTGGCAAAGCCTCGGGCGGCCCCCCTCCCCACCCCGCTCAGGCTGCTCCCGCTCTCTCCGTCCCCGCCACCGCAGCCCCGAGCCCGCCCTCCGCAGAGGCTCAGAGGAGATGCCACGAAGGCCTTGTCCCTGCTCCTGCAGACCAAGTGGGCCCCTGCCGGCTCGGCCCCCGGGGACCCAGCCTTTATCAGCAGGGATCAGCCCCCCGCCCCCCGGGGCGGAGCGACCACAGGCCAGAACCCTCCGCCGAACTCGGCGCTCTTGTCTCATCCCAGGGGACCGTCCAAATCGGAGGGAGGCCACCGACGAGGCCAAGGACACCCCCAAATCGGTCTTCTATTTTCATTTCACCGCCTACCCGCTCCTGGAGGACATCGTGAGAAACAGCAGCGTTCCTCAGGCTGACCTGCCGGACACCGTGGCCTCGCCCCGGGCGCTGCCCTTGGAGGAGAGGTGTGAGAGCTTCCTCCAGAAGAGGTGGGTGCCGGGTCTCTCCCGCCCGTCCCCTCCCCCTGCTGCCCCTGGCCGAGGCCTGGCTGAGGGACAGTGGGGCCAGCTGGGTGGTGCACAGGCCCGAGCAGCACTGAATGCCCCCCTCACACTCCAGTCCCCCTTCCGGCTGGCAGAAAAGGAGGAATGAGTTCGGGCGGATGGCGGAGGAGGGCCGCATCTGGGTTATCAGACATGACCGTCTGCAGCAGGGGCTGGCACGCTGGGGCCTGCGGACCACGTCCAGTCCCAGCCCACGGCCTGTCTGGGAGAAGGAAGCTTCCCCGGGACTCAGTAGGGCCCGGGCCCTCCCCAGTTTGCACAGCACACCCGGCTGCTGCGGGCTCAGCCGCACCAGAGCCCGCAGGACCCGCAGGACCCGCAGAGCCCGTGTCCAAGCGCCCTTCCCGTTCCACCCTCTGCGCATGCGCATGTCAGGCCCTTGCCTCCTCCTGGCGGAGCGCGGTGCTGCTGGACGTGAGTCCTCAGGCCCCTGCACGAGGCTCCGAGGGCAGAACTGCCCCCTTGACAGAGTGATTCCCCGCTAGAAAAAGCGATATTCGTTACTGCCGACACGTTCTACCCGCGCTTGCGGGCACCTGGAGAACAGGGCGATGCGACGCAGAAAATTTGCATACCCCGTAATCCCAGCACCGCTGCCAACGCGCCAGTGCTCACCCTTCCAGGGGTTCCCCTCATGTGGCTCCATAGTCGAGATCATGCTTCGTGTTCACTGTTGAGAAGGAGACAGTCCCTTCTGCCGTGACTGTCTGCAGTCTCTCGCACCGCCCTGCTCCCGCATGTCTCTCCTCCCTCGCACCCCAGCTTAGCGGCCTCCCTGGGAGGCCCCAGTGCCAGTTGGGGTGGGAAGACTGGCCCCCGGGAACACCGTGCAGGGAAGAGGGCCAGAGCCAGCGGGGCTGACCAGGTGGGCACCGGGGGACAGGGGGCACAGCTCGGGGCTACCCGCACGGTGGGTGTTCAGGGAAGTGCTCCCGGGTCCTGGGTCCCAGGACGCAGCAGGAGCTGGGGGTGGGGGTGGGGGCGGGGGCGGCACACTGTGTGGCTGCAGCAGCCCTGCCTGAGTCAGACCCAGTCACGGCCCCTGTCGTAGCCCTCCTTCCGAATGGCTCCCCGTGATAAGCCGGGGAACACCGTGGTTTAAAGAAGGCTTTCCTGCCCCAGGGGCGCGGGGGCTGAGGTCTGGGATTTTGGAAAAGAGTTCAGCCAACACCCCACACTCACAGCCTGGGACTGTCGTTACCCCTTTCCTCTCCCCGCCGACCACCCACCTCCGTGTGCAGCCCAAAGATGTCAGCCCTGTCTTTTTTTTCTCTAGCCATAGCTCGGGCCTGAAAGTTTTCCACTGGCCCTAAAACGAGGAGATAAAATTTCGTCACCTTGAAACTAGGCAATGGGTCCGGGCGGCAGCGGGGTCCGAGCCGCAGAACCTTGGCAGCGGTCTGTCGGGGCGTGTCCACGCGGCCTGCCCCCAGCTTTCGTAAGCGGCAGCCTGACACGGAGGCTGAAGGAGGCCAGCTGGTGCCAAGGGTGCCGACACCCTCCCGCCGCCGCCCCCCGCCCCCCCACCCCCACCTGGGCCTCCGGGGCACCGCCTCCATCTGGTTCCACGCCCCGTCTGTTGTAGCGTCCGCTGTCTCTGGCCAGGCCAGACTTGGGCCACGAGGGAGAAACTTCAGGACACCAGGGAGCGGACAGAAAGAGTCCGTCTCTCTGTCTGTGTCTGTCTGTCTTCATTCTCTGTGGAGCACGGGCCGAGCACGGCTCGGGTTCTACCCACCGGCTTTTGGCCGCAAGCAGGCTTCTCGGGGCGGGGGGCGCAACAGACCCGGGGCTGCCAGGCACGTGGCTTCTCGGGGGAAGGACTGTGTGGACACCCCCTTGATTACTGTCCTTGGGGAGGAGGTGCTGGGTGCCGCCTGACTTGCCTTTGCCTTCCTTGAGAAACGAAGGGACGACCCCCTAAAAACTGCCCGCAGACGCACGGACCCCAAACGCACACACAGCGGGTTCCCGGAAGTCAAAGGCTGTGTAAGGGTCGGGGGGAGAGGGTGGGGGTGGGACTGTGTGGCCTGCAGCTGCCCCACGCATGTGAGCTGGGGGTGAACACGCATTCATTTGTTATTCAAAGGAGCAAACAAAAAACGCCCACCCTCTTATGTTTTATTTTTAAAATTTTTTTTTCACCCTCTTATTTTTTAAAAGACCGAACGCAAACTCTTCATCTCCAGGGAGCCCTCCCGCCCCAGGCAGCAGGTCTCACCCGCCTCCCTGCGCTTGGTCTCTGTGGCACCGAGATGCCGCCCGTCCCAAGTGCCCTCTTTCTCTGTGTCACCCGTGCCCACTGGGGACAGGGGCAGGCTGCCGTAGTCACGTAGGTCTTCTTGCGCCAGAGCCCGTCACTGGCAGACGCTCAAGAGATGCTTGTGAAAGGGCACAATGGCACCCTGTCGCGGGTCCGCCGCGCAGGCTTCAGCTCCTGAGTCCGCTGTGCCTGCTGGCGCTGCGCACCTCGCGGTGTGGAATGCCCCCCCACTCCTTCAGTCCAGGTGTTTCGGGGCCTGCTGTGCCTCCGGCTGAGTCCTGAGGACACAGGGACGAAGCACATCTGTGTCACTCGGAGAGTTCCCGATACATGTAGCACAGGGTGGCGGAGGTCCGCCCCGGGGACCTGGCGGCCGGGTGGTGGGCGTGGCAGAGAGCGGGCTCTGCTCACCGCTAACCGCGCGGCCCCAGGTTCCAGAAGCTGGACCACCAGGTGAAGGAGCAGGAGCACTGGACCCGGCTGCGGAGGTACTCCTTGCTCCTCCAGAGAGAGAACCTCAAGAAGTGACTCAGCCACCGCCCCAGGCTCCCCAGGAGGTCTCAGCCACAGGCAGGCCCCACCCTGGGGTGGGGGGGCCGCCTCAGGAGACCCCGCCCCAGGAGGCCCCCCGAGGTGAAGAGACTCAGCCACAAAGGCCTGCAGCTGGAGGTCCCGGGGCCTGGAGTTGCAGACAGGGACCCCCACAGAGAAGTACTGTTTTGGGGGGGTTCAACCACCATACCCCTTGTCTGAGCCCCCAGTTGGACAAATGTGTCACCCAAATAAACCGATATTGTTTCCAGACCCCAGGGTGGCTATGCTGTGTAACCCCTTGTCCCCACCCAGTGCGTGCACCAGCGTCCCAGGACCTGTGGGGAGAACTCCATCGGAGGGGCCCGGGACAGCCACTTTGCTCGAACGAGCAGGACACCCAGCTCACCCCGGCCGCTGTGTGGCCCCTTCTCTCCCCATCCACCTCGCCTCCCTCTCTGTGCTGCCCCACAGCCTTTATGGAACCGCTTTGGAGAGGCTGCGGCTCAGACTGGTCAAGTGACTCCCTGAGGTCACACAGGTGTGAGTGTGAGAGGCAGAGGTGCCGGGTGAGGTGGCAGGCAGGTACCGCACCACTACTGCCCTGGCCTCCTGGCCTGGGAACCCTAGAGAGGACCCAGGAGGGCCCAGGAGAGGGGCAGAGAGAGCCTTTCTCTTCTCCGGCAACCGCCCTTCCCAGGAAAGCTGGACGGAGGGTCCCAGCAGCTCAAAGGCTACGCCTGCCTCTCTGAGGACACCGTGTGGTGCATTTGGGAACTGCAGGGCATTGACGGGTGCCAGCCTCCAGAATAACCTGCCCACTGACAGCTGGCTGCACACAGAGTTTGTGATGGCAGCTGCTTTTGTGTCCCCTCTGCCGACCAGGGCACCCTGCCGGGGCCGCAAGTGAGGTGACATGCCAGGCCACTGAGCATTTATACAAGTGCGGCATCAGTCACCCCCCTCCTCACTTCACGTCGTCGCCATCCTGAAGATGGTGCGTCAGCCGGCGCTCCCGGCACAGGTTAGCTGAGAGGTGAGCGGGCGCACGTGTCCATGGCTCGCCTACCTGGACGCTGGTGACTCTCCTGTCCCTTTGAGTGGCCATGCAGAGTTTCCGCTGAGACCCGTGGGGCTGGCCTAGGAAGGGGGGGGGGGACGAGGAGCAGTGGGGGGTGACTCTTCTCATCTCCAGCCCTCCCGCTTATTAGCAGAGACCCGTTAATGAAAATCACACCCAAGTGCTAATAAACGGTGGGAGGCCCCAGCTCTGACCTGGAGGGGGGAGCCCTCCGCAGGGGAGGGGCTGGCCTACAAGCCCCACTTACCTGTGAAAAGACTTGCTAATCACTTTAATTCCCACCCCCTCCAAACCACGGGGCCTTTGCCATGCAAACAGATCTTCTAACCCTGCTTAGGTTTCTGAAGAAAACATCCTATCTGACCCCTTTAGGGTCCCGGGGGAGAGTGACAATGGGGTGGAGGCACAGGAAAGTGGGGCCATCAGTGAAGGTGCAAGGTCCCACCTCCCTGCAGGGCCTCTGCTTGGGGACCCCACTCTCTGAAGAGGCCGAAGCGAAGGTGCCCAGGGCGCACCTGAAGGGCAGGGCGGCGAGCCCCTCCCCTGGGAAGGATCGCGGAGGTGGCTTCCAAACAAACCCGTCAACGTGAACCGATAAATAAACTGTGGTCTAGAAATACAATGGAATACTCCTGGGCAAAAAGATAAAAGAAACCAATGCACTGATATCCTGATGATATGAATGAACCTTGAAAACCTTATGCTAAGTGGAAAGCCAAACACAAAAGGCCCCATGTACACGGTATGACCCTTTCACACGGAACGTTCAGAACAGGCACATGTGGAGACAGAACTCGGGATAGTTGAGCTGGGGCTGGGGGTGCAGGAGTGGGGTAGTGGGGAGTGACTGCTAATGGAAACGGTTTCCTTTGAATTCACTGAGGTAACGCTGCTTCGCTAAATTATATTAAGTTCCAGAGGGCTTCCTTTCGGGAGGTGATGAGAATGTTCTAAAATGAGTGGTGATGGTTTGCGTGACTGTATGAGCCTACGAAAACCATGCAAATACACTTTAAGAGGCTGTAAATTTTATCTCCATAAAGTTCTTATTACAACAAAACAACAACAAAGAAAAAACAAATACAAACAAGGCCTGTGTTTCAAAGCGGCTTGAGGGGGCTGGGGGGCAGGACCAGGCGTCCGCAGAGGCTGAGGACCCTTGGGCAGAAAGAATATGTCCCCTCACCCACCTCGCCCACCAGGCCTGGCTGCTCACCAGGGCCCCCACCCCGACCCAAGCCACACCCCTCTCCCCACACATCCCTCCCCTAACCCGAACCCGGCCAGTGTAGACAGGAGTGTGCAGCTGGGCCTGGTTCTAGGTCAGCCGTGTGGGCCTGGGTGCAGCCCGAGGGGCCTGTCACCTCCCCTGGGGTTAGGGCCTCTGGGAGGTCACGTTTCCGGAAACTCAGGATTGCCTCGCTGACGTTATTTTATGTCCCTAAACCACCTGGGAGGGAACCCTGAGGGAAGGGAGATGGGACAACCCCAGGGTCCAGGCCAGGATGCGCCGGCGCAAGGGGAACCAGGACTCAGGACATGAGAAACGGCCCCTGGGAGGTGGTGTCTCCTCCACCTCAGAATGAATGGGGCTGAGAAATCCTACCAGGGCTGGAGTGCCAGTCCTCGGTTTAGGCTTCTGCAAAATGGTCATTTGGGTATAAAATATGTAAAGGATCCGATACAATAAGTACTAATGGAGATGTGCTTTCTGAAGATACTCCGTTTTTTGTTTCCAGCCCCCCAAGAGGTTGGAAGAAAAGAGGGGCAGACTCCATTCCCTGCCACTTTCCCAGGTGAAACGCCTCCCCGGTTCCAGCTGACCCAGCTGAACAGGCGGTGCTGGGGGGACACGGTGGAGCCAGGTGCCATGCTCCGGGGGCTGAAGCCTGCAGAAACCCTCCCAACTCCCCTACATCCTCCTCTGGAGGAGAGGGAGGGAGATTTGCGTCCACGCAAACAAGGAAGAACTTGCCAATCGACACCAGCAGTTTATTCACAAATAAATAAATACATACATGCTAAGCAGAGCTTCCTGATTGCCCAAAAGTGTCTGCTCTGTGGCTCCCCTGGCGGGAGGGGCTGGGGTGGGTCGTCCTGGGGGACAGGTTCTCACCCGAGGGGATGCCCGAGCCAGCCTCGCCGGTGCCCGCGGCTAGGGCAGGGGGACTGGGAGGAACCCCTCCGAAGGTGCTGAGGCCAACAAGGCCGCAGAGCTCACAGACCAGGCACCTCTTGTTTGTCAGGCGTCACTTGAACTACTCAGGCTGGCGGCCACTCCAGGGGCGAGAGGGGCATCCAGGTCTCCAGCTGGGGCAGCACGTGGCCCGGAAAGAGCTGGAGGGGGAAGAGGGAACAGCGTGGCTCTCAGCGCTCGTGGGCTCCACTCTCGGGGGGGGGGGGCTGTCATCTGTGCATCCTCTCCCTCCCCTCACCGCTTGGGCACCCCTGGTACACCGGCTGTAACGCTCTGGAGAGAGCTTGGGAAGGCTAGGCTGCGCGCCTAGGGTGCGGACAGTGGGGACGCCCCCTCGACGGCAGGGGCAGGGGATACTAACCGGAGACAAGGGGTCCGGCCCCGTCGCCAGCCCTTCTGGGCACGCCGCCTCGTCGTAAAGCACTGGCGCGGGTACCGCTGGGGCTCCCGGGCAGGCGGGCAGGGACCCCCAGGACCCCGAGGCGGGGACGGCAGAGCCCGGGCCGGGCCCGTGCGCCTGCGCCTGCGCGGGGCCGCCGTCGGGGCACAGCGGGCAGCCCCGGGGGGGCGCCGCGTCGCTGCGTCGCTGGCGCCGGCGCTGCAGGCTCTCCTCGCTGAGGCCCAGCACGGCCGACAGGTGGCCGATGTAGCGGATGGCCAGGCGCAGCGTCTCGATCTTGGTCAGGCTCTGGCCGGCGGGCGCCACGGACGGCGGCAGGAAGCGGCGCAGCTCGTGCAGGGCGCGGGCGAGCGTGCGCATGCGCAGCTTCTCGCGCTCGCTGGCGCTCTGCCGCTGCCCGACGCCCAGGCGGCTGCTCCGGGCGCCGCGCCTCCTGGCGCGAGCGGCTGCGTGGGCGCCGGGCCGCCCGGGACTCGGCACGGGGCTGCCCACCGGGGCGCTGCCCCAGGAGTTCGGGGACGAGGCGGGCGAGCAGCCGCAGCCCGTGTCGGAAGGCGGAGGCGGCTGAGCCGCGCCCCAGCACGCGGGCAGCACCCAGGACTCGGAGAGCGGTGGGCACAGGGACTGGGCCATGGCAGCGGAGGTGCGTCTCGGGACTGGCAGCGCGACGGCTTTATCCCCGAGGCCACAGCTTTATCCCAAGCCCGAGGTGTGAAGTGGCCTCTTCCAGGCCGCATCAGCACTTCAAAGTGGCTGGGGGCCTGGAGGGGGCGGGGCCTGACCCTTTGAACCAACGCGCTGGTGTTGGGGGAAGAAGGTGCTGGCCAGTTGGCTGCTCCAGGTTGGCCCCACCTGAGCCGTCGCATAGGCCCTGGGCACTGTCAGTGCCTGTGGCCAGACCTGGGTGTCGGGCCAGCTCAGCAGGTAAAGGAAGGCTTGGGGCTGCCTTCACCTGTTGGGGGCCTGATGCAAATAATTGGATTTTGTTGCACCTCCATTTCTAATTTGTATAATGGGATCCTCGGGCCATGAGGCAGCAGATCTATAGAATCGACTAGAGCCCAGGAGGGAAGAAACCCTGGTTCCCGCCGGGGGTGAGAGGAACAGTAATCTGTGTCTCCACTGAGGCGGGCACGTCCTGGACACACCCCGCCCACGGGTGGCGAGCTGCAGGAGCCGCGGTGAGGAGGCGATTTCCGGCACCTCAAGAGCTGGCCGGATCTGGTGCGGCTGCTGGAACGCCTGAGCCGAGGGAGGGGTGGGCCTGCCGGCCTCCAGGGCACCCACAGCCTGGCAGCCTTGGGGGCTTGGCCCGTTGCCACCCCTGGCCTCCAGCTGGTGTCCTGTCACTTTGGGGCAGGCACAACAGGCGTTACCAACAGAATGGAAATGACACAGAAAGAGCGTTTGACAAAATTCGGCACCCCCTTCATGATAAAATTCTCAGCAAACTAGGAATAGAGGGGAACATTTTCAACCCGGTAAAAGCCCTCTACAAAGAACATACAGCTGACGTGTGAAATAGGGGAAGACTGAGAGCGTCCCCCTAACACTGAGGAACGGGCAGGGATGCCCGCCGCTGCCCACGCCTTCCTATTCCGCAGTGCCCTGGAGGGTCTTCTGGCTTATGCAGTAAGAAAAAACAAAAGGCACACGGATTGAAAAGGAAGAAATAAAACTGTATTTCCAGACCACAGGACTGTCACATAGGAACTCTCACAGAGAATTCCTGTTGCCTGCCTGGCCCCTCACGGTGGAGTGTGGGCCCCGTCCTAGCAGCTACTTCACGCATGACGCTCTCTGGCTGGACCGTGCAGCACCTGGTGCCCGGCTTTGGGTCTTCAGAAGTGCCAGGGTCTAATGTGCGCCCTCCATGCTTCCAGCCCCGTGAGCCTGAGGGGTGAGCTGGTGGGAAAGAAAGCAAAACGGCCTGGCCCCTTCTCCCCAGCCCCTCTGCCACCACTGCCCCGCCCCCGTCTTTTATCCTGTATGCACATGACCTCCTCTGACTGTGTCTGCGCCCCTCCTCAGAGTCTGTCCCAGCAGCCCTGGGATGCTCTTACCCACAGCCACACCGAGGACAGGCAGTGCCAACGCCCCTGGGCACACAGTGTAGGACCCACCCGCTCCCACGGGAGCCTGGGCCCCCAGCCTGCAGCTGCAGCAGGGTCTGCCTCTTGCAGACCCTGGCTGATAGATGCCCTTTTGGGGCTCCAGATTCAAGCCCAGAACCCGGTACTGGAGCCCGGTGATGGTCCCTTCAGTCCCGCTGGGCCCAGGGGAACAAGCAGTTGGGGCGTGGCAGATGGAGCTGTGCACAGCTCAAGACGGTGTGCAGGGTGAAGGCTGCACAGGCAGAAACGGGGGTCTCGGAGGGTCTGGGCACCCTGTTGCCAACCCAGGTGTCAAAAAGCCCCTCCATTCCCAGAGACCAGTGGTCATGATCGCCACTAGTTCGTTGGCAACAATGCTCCCGAGTGAACTGCATTTCGTTACTTGCACAACCAAGCGGGCACTCCTGGACAGGGCCCCCCTGCAGGGGCCCAGCTCTGGCCCCGAGGATCTCTGGTCTGGAACCCAACAGCTCACATTGGCTGAGCCCTTGCAGGGGAGCCACCGGGAGCTCTGGAGTGGGAGAGGGCCCCTGGTGTCAGGGCTCAGGGGGGTTAAGAAGACCAGGAGCAAGTGTGGAGACAAAGAGCCCACAAGAACGGCATGACAGAGGCGGGGTTTTCCGCCCTAGAGGCTGACAAACTGGAGGTGCCGCTGGGAGTCCCTCCCTCCCCCAGTGCCCCTGGTGCCCCTGGGCCCAGACTGTGCAAAGGCTGTAGTTGGTGGGCCTGAAGGGGCCAAGTGGGGGCAGAGGAGGGACCCCAACCTGGAGCCTGGGTTCTGCCACCTCCTGCCCACCAGCCTCCCTCTTCCCGTTCCCCAGCCTCCGTCACTTTGATCTCCTTATCGCCAGCCTCCTCTGGGGGCTTCATCTGGGAGCCGCGTTAATGAGTTCTCCGGGCAGCAGGGCCCACACACCCTCCTGCTGGGGCAAGGCCTTCACACCCGGGGGCCTGTGTTTTGACAAGTGCCGAGCCAGTGGCTCCCGCTCCCCTGCCCCAGCCTGCCGCCTTCGCCTGCCAGAGTGTAAGGCTGGGAAATGGGGCCGGGGGCAGCCCCGCTGAGCGGAGGTGAGAGTTCAGTGGGGTCCTTGGCCAGCGTGGTGGGCGGAGGGGGGGGCAGGGCGGCACCCCAGAAGGCTGGGGAACAGGCCTCAGCCTTCCTGAGAGGAACCAGCGGGTCTCCTCAGGCCAAGCCCGGTCTGGGGCGCGGCCCCCGCCCCCCTCCAAGCCCCAGTGCCCTCATTTCCCGCCAGCCTCTCTGACCCAGGAGTGCTAATCAAAGGTGCTATGTCAACATGCCACCCGCCCCGCAGCCCTAATCCCTGGGTCTGCTGGAGCCAGGGCCGGGGAAGGAAGCGGCTCCTGTGCTGCCAGCCTGCTTAGCAGTCGGCAGTCACATCCCCCGGGAAGCTCCTGGTCTGGGGGCCCCCTACTGCCAGGGGTCTCCTACCACCCCCGGACCGGCCCGAGAGGCAAGCCCATTCGGGGAGGGAGTGTCATTTCCGAAGCCCCCACCCTCAGACAGCCCCGGACACGCCCTGGGGCGCGGAGTCCCCGCCCTGCCATGTCCGGCCTGTGTCACTCACTCTTGTCTCTGGGCCCCGGGGTGAGGGACACCGACCTTGCTGGCATGGTGGGGACCAGATCACACCTCCAGACACGCTTTGCGCACGCCCACCCGTGCTGGCGCCGTGCTGGCGCTCGGCTGGGTCACGGCCACAGCCGTGCTGTGGTGCGGGCGTTCTCGACTCACTTGGTAGCTGAGGACACGGAGCGGCGAGAGGCTGCCCCACGTCACATGGTGGAAGGGGCCGCGCTGGGTCCGCCTGGCTCTGCCCGGGGCCACAGCCTGTTGCCGCCCTGCCACCTCTGAGACTGGAGGCCCCGAGAGCGAGGGTGCCGGGCTGGGGGTCTGCAAGCCCCCGGGGAACCTTGCTCCGTGTCATGTCAAAGGGACCTGCGGAGATGAAAAAAGAGAAAGGTTTCCAGGCCTACCCGGCACCTGAGGACGCAGCCGCAGAGTCTGGGTCTGAAAAGGACACTGTCCTGGAATCGGGGAGACCCGGCCCACTTTGGGAAACTGGCTATAGCCAACACCCCCCGGTGCAGACAGCGGAAGAGGCCCTGGGAGTGCCTGCCCCGCCCCCAGGTCCCAAGCACCCCCTGGGTCGCAGATAGAGGAGGAGAAGCTTGGGCTGGAGAGGGGACTGCAGCCGTCTGGAGCCCAGAGCGGTCGGAGGGCCCAGCACTGAGGACCCCACCGCTTCCTGCACCTGCCCCCCTCCCCTGCAGCCTCCCAGCTACAGCCCGAGGCTCCCTGCCCGTGGGATCAGCCCCTCTCCTCACACCTCTGGCTCCCGGAGCCACTGGGTTGGCAAGCCATATGGAATAGATTATTCTGGAACCACGATAATCTGATTATCTTGGCCATGGATCAGCTGGATATGCAGCCAGTGGGAGTCACGGGAGGCAGAGGGGTGCGGGGAGGAGGGGCTGGGGAGGAGCGAGGGAGGGAGGGGGATTTGGCAGATTCCGGGAAAGGATCAAGAGAAGTGCCAAGCTCTGCGAGGCCCAGAGCGGGCTGAGAAGCAGGGCCCGCAGGCCTCTCTCTGGATAGAGCCCAGTGCGGCTGCTCTGCCTCATCTGGGTACGCGGAGTGGGTCTCAGCTTTACGGTGAAAGGTGGGGAAACGGAGAGAGGCACCAAGTGGATCTGTGTTTTTCCAACTGCAAAATGGAGCAGGGACTCCCGACTGCCTGCTGAGAGGCCCTGGGGGCTCTGCACGTCTCGCTGAGAGGGCGTCTGTCTCCGCCCACGGTGCTGACGGGAGTCACGCACGCAGGATACAGTGCAGATGGGTACAGGGTACACCAAGTGCCCTTGCATTCCCAGCCACGGACAGCAGAGGGCGCTGCCCAGTCGCCGGGGATCTTGGGATCTGGAAAGGGCAGCCCTGCCTCTAACCAGAGGCCTCTGCCTGCAGCCAGGGCCAGTGCAGGGTGGGAGTGGTGGGCACCGGCGCCGAGTGCACGTGTCAGAGACGCCGGGCCGGCTTAAGAAGTGGGTGAAGCTGGCTCGGCGCTGGCGCGATGGGCTCTGTGACCCCGACAGGCCACTTGCCTTCTCTGGACCCCAGCTTGCTCCTCTGTCCGCTGGGAAAAACCCACATCCGTATGCAGAGAGGCGGAGCGAGACGGAGCCTAGCCTTGCCCAGCGTGGCTTGGTTGGTTGGGGTGTCGTCCCGTAAACCGGAAGGTCGTGGGTTCGATTCCTGGTCAGTGTGTGTACAGAAAGGCAACCAATCGATGTCTCTCTCTCACATCGATGTTTCTCACTCTTTCTCTCGCTAAACGGCGTGAAAAAATGTCCTCAGAGAGGATAAAACAACTTTTTAAAATAGACAGATGAAGTCTGGAGGAGCGGGCAGGACGGACCTGGCTCAGGAGGGCCGGGGACCGGCAGGGCTCAGGCCCCTTCTCCCCCTCCCTCTGCACAGCCCCGGGCGAAGGCTGAACCAGGCAGACCACAAGCTGCCTGCAGCTCCAGGCAGGGGGCACCTTGAGGCCTGTGCCCCTGCCAGCTCCCTGGTGCAGATCTGCAGGCCCGGCTCCGCGGCCAGCTTGGGGTGCACCCAGCACTGGCCCCCCAGGGAAGCACAGGATGCAGCTCTCTCAGGGCAGGACATGCAGGTTTCTGCCCCTCCCGACCCTGTCCCTGCACTCCCAGGCTGCTAGCAAAGGCTCAGTTAGTCCTGGCAGGAGGGGGAGGTATGTGTGCAGGGCCAGCCCAGGCTACCGGCTGAAACCCTAGCCTGGGCTCCCACACCACGTCGCTGAGTGGCTCAGGCCCTCAGCCAGCTCCAGGCCCTCCTTCCCAAGGGCAGGGGGCGGAGGGCACCCCTCCCCACCTGCCCAGACGAACCTGACTTCAGGCCCAACGATAAGCGGAGTGGGGCCCCTAGACTGAGCTGGAATGCTTGGGCGGGGCCTGGGCGAGTGAGGAGCCTCTGGACGGCCTCCTTTGCCAGAGGCTGGGTCAGGGCTGTGCCTGGACCGTGTGGGGAACATCTAGAGGAAGTGGTTGCCCAGATAATAAATCAAACAGGAGAGGGTCTCACGCGATCAGCACTGACTGTGGGCCCAAAACGGTAGACCGGATGAACTCAGGCCTTGGCTCTGGAGGGCCCCCCACCAGGGGAGGTGCCGGATGCAGCCCTCGGCCTGAGACGAGGGAGTTTCCTCCCCCCTTGGAGCTCACGCCCCAGGCCAGGCCCGGTCAGCACCCGGTGCCGGCGGTCACACTCGTGAGGCACCCTAGGGGAGCCATGGTGCTCGCTGCCCACGACCAGGCCCCCACCCCCGGGGCTCCCTGGGGCCGGCCTGAGGCCTCCGTGCACCCTCCGCCCCGCCGCTCCCCTGGCGGGAACTGGTCCCCAGCAGAAAAGACTGAAGGCACAAGTGAGGACAGACTGCTGAGCGACAGGACCCGGCTGCAGGGCAGGCCAGGCCGCACGGCACCTCTGACGTAAGCAGGGACACGAGGAAACAAGAGTCGCACGAGAGACCCGCACGGAGATCACCCAACGACACCCCGAGTTCTGTCGAAGCTCAGGCTGCGTCTCCCACACTCACCGAGTCCGTAGTCTCGCACCTGGGCCTCTCCGGGGGAGGGGGCAGCTCTGGGTTCCAGGGCTGGTCAAAGAAGACTTCAATCTTAATCTTACCTGTAATGTTTACATTTTTAAAAATTACTTTGTATTGCAGAGAAAGGGGAAGGGAACGAGAGGAACACAGGTGAGAGACAGACACTGATCAGTTGCCTTCCCCACACACCCCGACCAGGGACCTGGCCCGCAGCCCAGGCACGTGCCCTGACTGGGAATTGAACCGGCGACCTTTCGGCTTGTGGGACGACGCCCAACCCACTGAGCCACACCGGTCAGGATGAACTATTTCATGAATGACAGGCATGAGGATGCGCCCGTGTGGGGAACTTTAAGGCACGTCAGCGTACACTAGAAAGTTGTTACTAAACTGCTACCCCCACAGCATGGAGTCCGAGGCAGGCCTTCAAAGCCTCATTCGGATGCATGTCGACTGACACAGAAAGGGACAGTGACACGTCAGAGAGAAAAGCTGGTCGTGTGCTCTTGAACTGCCCACAGGAATCGTGCGTAGGGTCGAGAAGAGACGCCTGCAAGGCGGTGTTCACGTCAGCGTTAGTCCCCAGCGGTCAGCAGTCACCGAAGGTGCAAACACCCCAGGCGTCCACGGATGGATGAGCGGATGAGCCAACGTGGCCCGTCCGCACAGTGGAATATTACTCAGCCGTGAAAAGGGACGCGGTGTAGACACAGCTGCCCCCCCGGGCGAACCGCAAAAACAGCACGCTCAGTGAGACGAGCCCGACCCCGCACAAACACCACACGACCCCGCTTACGGGAAGCACCCGTGACGGTCAGGTTCAGGAGAAGGGAGCTGTAGAGGTTCCCAGGGGCTGGGGCAGGTGGGGGAGGGGCAGCTGGTTAACGGGGCACAGAGCTTCTATCTCCTTGAGGTGATCGAAAATTTTGGAAATACAAGTGGTGATGGTCGCACGCATTGAGAATGTAATTAATGCCACCAAATTGCACACTTAAAATGGTAAGATGAGAAGTTTTAATGTCTATATATATATATATGACCATGACTTTAAGAACTGCAGGTGTGACACACAAAAGCGGCGGAAGTGTACCGCGGCAGGAGTGGGCGCCACTCCTCCCCCTCGCCCTTCGGGGGTGCTGCCGGGCTGCAGACGGTCCCGCTCCCCAGCAGGGCGGCAGGCAGGACGTGTGGGGTTCCACGCGCTGAGAATGTGGCGCTAAACCGAACCACATGGGCGAGGAAACCCATTTCACAGACACCACGACCAAGGCTCAGGGGACTGAGCCCAGGCACAGCTGGCTCCAGGCCTGAGCTGCCCCTCCAGGCCCATGGGGCCCGTGCAGCCCCTCACACACCTGCTTCCTCGGCCCAGCCTCCTTGTCGGAGGGAGAGCGGGGTCCCCCTCCACGCCCCGGCTTGCTGGGCAGCTCCCTGGGTGCCTGTGGCCAACCGTGCCCCACCCCCACCCCGAGCTTCCAGTGGCCACAGCCCCCCCAACCTTCCTCCACATTCTCTCCTCTCCCAGCACGCCGCCCTGCCTCCAGCCGCCCTTGCCCTGACGTGACCACCCTCACCTGCCCCCAGCCCCTCACCTTGCGCCCCCTTGCCCTCCTTAGAATCCCTGTGGGCTCGCTGCCTCCCCAGGCCACGCCCCTCACCCAGCAGAGTGTCCTGCTCCCACCTGCTGGTCCACACGCTGTCCACCCCTCCCCACCCCTGCCCGGGGCCCCAGCCTGCTGGCAGCGCCCTGGGCCTCCCCACTTCTAGCCTCGGGCTCACACCTTTGCCCGCTGCCAGCAGTGCCGCACCTGGGCCTAGGCCTGGAGGAAAAGCCACACTTTCAGGTCCCTCCTCTGCCCCCCGCGCCCTGCCCTGAACACTAGTCGGGGGCGCCTCTGCGGCCCGGGGGGCTCCCGCCCACTGCGCCTCCAGCCCATCTGCTCCTCCTCCTCTTCCTCCAGCTGCAGCGCCCAGAGGGCAGCGAACCTGTGCCCCCCGACCTGTGGCCCCAGGCCCGGGCGGCGTCGCCCAGGGCTGTGGTGCCCGGCCTCTGTGGGCGCAAACCCTGGCTCCGAGGGCTGTAGGCAAAGGCCTGGGCCTCTCTGGGCCTGGCTTCCCACCTCGGCAAGGGGGGACCGCAGGCTGAGGCCCACATTCGAGCCCCGCACGGCCACACAGGGACGCACGGGGCACTCACGCTGCAGAAGGGCCGGAAGGCCGGGCCAGGAGAGCCCCGGTTCCAGCAGCTGCTGCTCTGTGACCCGGTGCTGCTGGCTGTCAGTCTGTGGGCCTCCCGGCCTGGGCCCAGAGCCCTGCGCCAGAGCCTGGGCCTGGGCAGGACCGTATCTGGGCAGGCCGACTGGGGCTCCGGGAGTGAGGAGCCGTGAGGGGCCCCCGTCCCTTCCTCCTCGCCCTCCCAGGGTCACAGAATCTGCTTTTGCCCTGGGCCCCCCACCCCTGGCCCAGAAGCGCATTCCAGGGAGTCGGAGCGGGCCTGCTGCCGGCTGTTTTGGAGGCCCCTGCACACCCTGGTTCCCAAGTTGACACCTTCCGCCCCGGGGGAGGCGGCCTTGTGTCAGCAGGCAGGGCGGAGGTGTGAGGGCAGCCACAGGGGCCAAGGGGGCGGCCGGCCCGCACTGCTGGCTGGTAATGAGAATACCACATGGCCCCTGCCGCCCCCACACGGCCGGCCTCCTCCCGCCTTCCCTCCCACGTTCCGCGGCCTGCCCCACCGCCCCCCAGGGCCTGGAAGGGAAAGCAGACCTGCGGGGCAGAGGCCAGGCTGCAACCCGGGACCGCAGTGGAGCCTTGGCCCTGCTCCGGGGGCAGGAGCAGGTGCAGAACTGCGGGGGGGGGGAGGGGGGCGGGGGCCCGAGGAACAAATGGGGAGCTCCCGCCAGGCCACCAAGAGCAGGCCTGGCCAGGGCCCCTGTCCTCCCATGGCCCCTGACAGCACAGGGCGGGATGCCCCTCACCCGACTGCAGTCAGGGGCAGGTCCCGGGAGGCCGGTGGGGGGTGACAGGCCCGAGGCCCCGGCGTCCTCACCTGTGTAACAGGCACAGTGACGTGGGCACTGCAGGCCTCACGCCCCAGGCGGAGCCCAAGGCCGGGGTGGCCCTGTGGTTCCTGCCCCGGCGGAGGCCCGGCTGGGCCACCGCCCCAGGCCCGGAGAGCGGGGCTGCGAGTGAGTGTTCTGAGCGCAGAAGCACCTGCGAGGCCTCGCCGTTGTCCCTGAGCCCGGGCGCCCTGAAGGGACCCCGTGGCCCCCTGGGCGAGACCGCCTGGAGCCCAGAGGCAGCGTCTCCCAGCCTCGCCCTGGTCCTCGGCTACAGCTCTGCAAGTCCCTTGGGATGGGCAGGCCCAGCTCCCTGCTCGGTGGAGCTGGTCAGGGCTGCCAGAGGCCGGGACAGCCTCCCGCTGCACTGGACACGCCCCTCATGCAGCCGTCTGGCCTCCCCTTGATCACCTCCAGGAACAGGCCTCTCACTCCCTGGACAGCCCCTCCGACCTCGGCAAGCTCTTCAGGCTCCCCCTGCAGTATTCTGGACACGACATCACATCTCCTAATTTTTCTCTTTTTGGACAAAGCAGCCCTGAGTCCTTTAGCTGTTTCCCTGGGGACCTGGCTTTAAACCCCTGACTGGCCTCCCTCCCCTGAGTGTGTCCCCATCCCCTGTGAGTGGGCGGCCCCCAGGTGGGACCACATTCTCTGGGTGTGGCCCGCCCCGCCTGGGGACTAAGAGACCCGCCTCCGTGGCGGAAGACCTTGTTGGCCGTGAACAGGGAGGGGGTCCCATTTGTTCCTCACGCCCCGGATTCCTGCAGGCGGGGGACACTGTGCCCTTGCCGAACGCGCTGCTGGTTACACAGTGCCCCCGACCCTGAACTTGGAGGGAGGACACACAGGGCCCTATCGACTCCACCCTGTTCGATCTGATGGGTTCTCCCGGCCTGCTGAGATCACTTCAGATCCTGGCTGTCACCCAGTCCCCCTCCGGGGTCCAGATCTTACCCCACATCAGATCAGTTCCTGTCTTCATGCCCCTGCCCATTACCAGTCTGGGAGCACGGCCGGGGTCACAGCACGAGGGACCTTCCTCCGGTGGCCATTCACCCGCTCATCTGTGAAAACAACGCATCTGTTATGAAGTCAAACACCTGAACCGACACCCGGATCTCCTGGCACCGCTTGTTCACAAGGACGCCCTTGTGACTTCTTTACTTAGCGGGCAGAAATTGTGTGTGGCTGCTTGCTCATAGCTAACACCCAAAATGACCATAACTTAAGATGGTAATTTATTTTCTCTCTCATTAAAGAAACTTCAGGGGTAGACAGTCCTGGGCGAGTGTGGCACTTCCACATTGTCACTGGTGCCTGGGCTTCTTTCTGCTCCACCATCCTCAGTGACTTCTGCTCTTGAGACTGCCTCAGGACCACAAAATGGTTGCTGAGGTGATAACCATCACATCTGTCTTCCAGGTAGAAAGCCCTGCTCTAAAGAGCTTTTCTAGAAGCTCCGTCTAATACTTCCACTAACGTTTCATTGGCCATTCCATCTGCAAGACAGTCTGGGAACTGTGGGTTCTTTTTTTTTGTTAGCTGGGCACATAAACATCCACAGTAATACAGGCTCCTGGTATTAAGGAAAAAAGAAGTACAGAGGCTATACAGAACACACGTCATGTGGACAAGTGGAAGTCCCTGCCACACTCGTGAACATTCTACTGACCACGTTCCTTAGACCTACACACCATCTGTCTCCTCGGCTGGTAAAGGGTGGGGCTGAGACTCTAAAACGCAGGTCTATGAGACCCCACAGCCCGGCCCGGTGGGGAGGACGCACTTTGGCCTCCTCCCGGTGAGTGCGGCCGGCAGGCCGTGTGCCCCTGGGCACAGAGTCTGGCTTCGAGGCCCAGTGAGGAGCCAGGGGCCAGAGCAAACCAGGCCAGGGCCCCACCCTCCAGAAGTTACGCTGCGACATCCCAGTCGGTCTGAGACCCGGGCTCTGGGGCCGGCCCAAACCCAGACAGACGGCCGGGCCATCCTAGAGAGGAACCTGCACCCCCGGCTCTGTGATGGGGGCCTCCCATTACTCACCGAATCCTTTCACAGCCATCCCCTCCGGGCTGGCTCTGGTGGGTAAGGGTGGGGCAGGAGAGAGGAGGGAGGCTTCTGGGTGCCGGGAACCTTCCGGGAGATCGTGAGGCCACGTTACCGCCCTGCTCCAAATCTAGCTGCCCGTGCATCACCGGGCAGTGCCGTCTGGCCGAAACTAAAATCATGCGAAAGGTGCTTCAGTAAGAGACGGGCTAGGATGTGAGCGTGCTGGGAATATTACACAGCAGTTAAAAAGGGCCGGTTGGAAAGCTTAAGGTCAACAGCCCATGAATCTGAAACTTCAGAATCCAGATGCAGAAATATATCCATGAAACTGGGTGAATTTTGTTCACGACAGTCAACTCCATGTATATAATAAGTTCCTGGCTAGTACGATTTGTCAGGGCTTTGTAGTACTGAGCTCTGGATGAATAAATGAGGGTTTACTTGTGTTTGCCAAGACTTCAACCCCAGACCCGCAGGACTGGATGTCTTCAAAGTCTACACTGCCCTCGGGTAAAAGGAGTTATTTTTTTAACCTTAGTTTAAACCCTTTTAAGTCATGAACTATTGCGTAACTCACTGCTTCTTTCCAGAGGAAACCGGTGTGGAGTCAGGCGTGGCCAACTGACTCCATTTTCTGTTTGTGTTATGGGTAAATCAGTTTCCTGTCCTGGCCTACGGCAGCCACAAGACACCCAACGACAGTTACTCCAGGCCGGTAATGGCTCCGTCACGACCTCATGGTGGTCGCCCGAGCCCTCTCCGCTCCAGTGTATTCTAAAACAAGCTCTGAAGAGCAAGCGAGGGGATTGCATCACTGAGGGTGTGTGCGTACCACCTGCCACTTGGCCCCCCCCAGTTCCAGTCATCCTCTGCGGCTGAAATGGGTCAACGTTGAAATCGACAGTGACCCACGATGAAGGAAACCAGTCAGTCCCGAGATGGAATGCTCTGGAACAGGCTGCCCGCTGAAACAGGAGCAAGTCACAGGCTGGTGTGTGCGACGTGCCACCGTGTCACTGCCTGTCTTCTGAGGGTCTGCACCAATGGACGTGAGCGCCGGGACCGGGTCTGGAGGGGGACCCTGACAATCCTGTAACAACAGCTGTCACCTTGAGGGGGCGCCAGCGTTCTCCTCGTGTTTCCTCGTCTAACAAAATGTATTCGTTATGTAATCTGCGTAACTAAAAATTAATTTTTAAAAACAGCCATAAAATACTACGAGGCCATGGACGACGTCAGGCTGATACTGGCTCACCTGTTCCTGACCCCTAGGGAACACCTTGCGAAGTCCTACCTCCAGAATGCCACCTGCCTCGCTCCCTACCCTACTCCTGCACCTGGTTCCGGGCCCCGCAGTGACCTCCGCACCTCTGCGGCCAGAGCTCCACCGTCGCCGGCCCTCCTGAGGCCCTTCCCCTCCGAGTCAGGCCTGTTTTCGAGAAGATCACAAAGAACGTAGATGCCTTTTTTAAGCCGTAATTATCTCTGAAGGGCCAGAGGTTTTGCTTCATAATCTTTTTACTCCATCCAAGTTCATGCTCTGAGAGTGGAACAGTTCCGGGACGCACACATACAATTATTATCTGTGTTTTATAGCGTGGGAGGCTCGGACAGGGGAAGGACACACAGCTGGTAAGCGGCGGGCTCCCAGAATCATACAATGGCCGGCTCACCCCGCCTCTTGCACAACACCGAAACCTCATGAAAGCGGAGGACAGAGCTAGCTTATTCACGCCGGTGTGACTGACGCCTACCAGGTGCTAAATAAAAATGAAGTAAATGAATAATGCCTACGAACATCTTGAAACGTAAGCACCTTCTTTATGGAATGATAGCACCACAAACATGTGGCTCACTCGCCAAGTCCACACTAAGCGGTTCTGTGGACGGTTCCACATGGAACTGGGAACCCTCCAAAGTGGTGGTATTTGTTATTGTTGCTGAGAATGCGGAAACTTGGGCCTCAGAGGAGTTAAGTCACTTGCCCAAAGTCTCACAGCAAGTAAAGAGGATCTGACTCTGGCCGGCTTGAGGGGGTCCACCTTCCCGATTCCTTCACCACTGCACACCAGTTATTCATTCTTCTTCAGGATGCTCTGTTCTGCTTTTCAGGACCAGAAATTAGCCGTGGGCAGCAAGATGCCTTTCTCCATGTCACTCAGCAAATCAGCAGGCACAGGTTCCAAAGAACCCAGGAAGGGCCCACCTGTGTGCTCCCCACCCCCATGCCTGATGGCAGGTCCCTCCCACGTGTCTTAGAGGCACACTTGTAGGCCCTGGGTTACTACTGGGTACAACCCCCTCCCCGGGGGGACTGGTGATGAGAGAGGCGGCCCCTCTATGCAGGGGCCCATGAGTCACTATAGGGCAGTTTGGGAGCCTGGGACGATGGCAATGCCCAGCATTATAGGGCTCCCGGCACTCACCCCGAGGCGGGGTGGGTGGGTACCCGGTGAGAAGCTTAGCAGCTCCATCCAGATGCGAATTGTCCCTCCCACACTTCCCGGGCTGCGGGGGCCTCCATTAGAGCTCTGGAGGAGTCAGAATCCACACCTCCGCAAATGGGCCCGCTTTCCCAGGGCCCCCCTGCCCAGGCCTTCCCTGGGCTCTGTGGGTTTTGACACCTCTCTGTAACCTGGCGGGGGGCCACCTCGCACCTTTGGTCCAGATAAAAGCTCAGGCCCGGAGGTGGCCGGTCCAGCATCCCGGAGCCTGCGGCCCGGCCATGGCCCAGTCCCCTGGTCTGAGCACCCTCGACCACTGGATCTTACCCCAGGGCTGGGGCTGGGCCGGACACTCGGACTCCACGTCCCCGGGCTCGTCCTCGGACTCGTCGGGCTCGTGCCCCTGCGACGGCACCCGCGGCCCCTCGCAGGCCGCACCTCCGGTGCGCGGCGCTCCCGCGCCGCAGGCCGCCCAGACGGCGCCGGGACGCTCGCGGTCCGGACCGGCCGTCGGGCAGCGGCAGAGCGCCAGCGAGCGCGAGAAGCTGCGCATGCGCACGCTCGCCCGCGCCCTGCACGAGCTGCGCCGCTTCCTGCCGCCGTCCGTGGCGCCCGCCGGCCAGAGCCTGACCAAGATCGAGACGCTGCGCCTGGCCATCCGCTACATCGGCCACCTGTCGGCCGTGCTGGGCCTCAGCGAGGAGAGCCTGCAGCGCCGGCGCCAGCGACGCAGCGACGCGGCGCTCCCCCGGGGCTGCCCGCTGTGCCCCGACGGCGGCCCCGCGCAGGCGCCCGGGCCGGATCTGGGCTCATCCGCCCCCGTAGCCGGATCCTGGGGGTCTCCGCCCCCCTACCCCGGAGCCCCAGCGGTGCCCGAACGCTTGAGAAGCAGGGTCCCCGACCTGGGTCCCTGGGTCTCACCCCCTTACTGCCCCGGGATGCAGTCGCTTCCTCAAGTGTCCCAAGGAAGTGCTCCCGACGCTGCCCTTTGGACGCCGACCCCAGCGCGTTCCGGAACGCAGATACCCCCAGAGCCTGCAGCCCAGGCCACGTCCTGGGCGCCGCCCCCTGCTGACCTGGAGCCTTCTGCAATGTACCAGGTACCGTCCCCCAGGCTTCCCTCGGAAAAGGGACGCGGTGGGTAGGCTCTAGTCTGCAGACGATTCCGTATTTTTGTAGATCACCATGATCTAATCCAGCCCTGGTTGTGGGTGGAGAGGGCGCCGACCTCCGTGGGGAAGGAGGTGGGGCCCTGGACAGGTAAGGCCCCACCACCACCTAGAAGTCATCACCCCCTGTGGATGAGGGAGGCGCCCTCAGACTTGCCCCTTCCACCCTGGCCTCTGGAGGTGGCAGAGGACACGGTCCAAGTGCTCCAAAAAGGGCCGGGAGGAGGGCGGGAAGCCTTGTGGCCCCCCCGGGTTAGGGACTTCCTGAGCAATGACCTTTGAGCTGGCGACCTTTGTTCCTTCAAGCTTCAGTTATGCTTGAAGCCCAAGAATGAATGACTCGTGGTCCATAAAGTAGCATGTTAATAACTGAAATGTATTGAATGCTTGTTTTCCCAGCGCCGTCCTTGCCACTGTCCATGAACTCACTGCTCTTGTCTGTCTTGCACAGGGTATCCCTGTGTCTCCGGAGCCCTGTCTGTTGCCGGAAACCCCACCCCTCATGCCGGGCCCAGCTTGCCAGAGACTCCAGCCTCAGGCCCAGTGGGGATGCTGGAGCCACAGCACAGAGGTGCCGCCCAGCTCCGAGGACCAGGGACCAGGCCCCACCTTCCAGTTCAGCGATGGAAGCCCTCTCCAGAGCTCAGGCCTGCAGCTCAGCGGCTGCCCTGAACTTTGGCAAGAAGATTTGGAGGGGGGCCACCTGAGCATCTTCTACTAAGAGCCTTGCCTGTCCCCTTCTCAGTGAGGAATCGGGCCTGTGTGCGGGTGCCCTCCTCATTTGCAGTGTCAGTGGTTTTGGGCTTCCCCGTAGCCAAGGGTCCCTTTCCCAAGCGGTGTCTTTCATGCAAGCAGTCGTTCGAAATAGGTGGCTGGAGGCCGCCCCGGCTGGAGTTGGGGCTGGGGGGCCCTGCGCTCCTGGACCCCCTCCAGAACAGCCAGTGCCCTGAAGAGCCAAGTTGGCAGCTGGGACTGACGGGGGGATGAATTGAGGGAGTGGAGGGGGGAAGGACAGAAGTCTATATGCTTTGATTTTTCTTCTTGAAAAAAAAAACAACACAACAAAAATTTGCTTTGGTCTGTTTTTCTTCTTTCAACTTGAGTTCTTATGGCCCCTGGGAAAGGAAAAATGTCCCCCTTCTGTGGGGAGCAGATCATGCCCTACCAAGGTGGATGAGGGCCCTCACTCACCAGTTTGACCCTATGTGTTGTGCTGGGTCCCCTCCACCTGGCCTGCTGTGCAAGGTGGCCTGAGCGGTTGACACTTGGACCCCCCGCACTGGCCTCACGCACCCAATCCTGTCGCCCCTTCTCATCCTTTTGGGTGCATTCCTGCTGACTCACAGGGCTGTCTCACAATGGTCTGAAACTGTTTTCCAAGGATGCCTGTGAGTGGCCCCAGGTCCTGGGCCAGTGTGTCCAGTTGCCTGGGCTGCCCTAACAGACGGCCACAGATTGGGCGGCTTCCCCCCAGAAATGCGTTTTCTCACAGCTCTGGAGGCTAGACGTCCCACATCAAGGTATCAGCAGGCTTGGTTTCTTCGAGGCCCATCTCCTTGGCTTGCAGATGCCACCTGTCACTGCGTTATCACGTGGTCACTCCGTGTGTGTGTGTGTGTGTGTGTGTGTGTGTTAGTCTCTACTTCCCATAAGAACTCCAGTCATAGTGGACTAGGGCAGCATTGTTCTCCCAGGTCCCTCCAAGAGACGTTCCTCTAGGCGGTGGCAGGGCCAGGTGGCCTGAGATTCACCCCAGAGTCTGCCGCAGTCAGGGAAGCAGGGCCCAGGGGAAGGGGACTAGCCAGCAGCCCTGTCCTCATCCTCTGGGAGGGAAGGCTCAGCTCTCCCTCTCGGGAGCAGCCCCCCTCGCCCCGTCCGTCCGGTCCATGTCTGCGCCCCAGGCATGCCGCTGTTGGCTGCAACTCTCTGCTAAGTGACCGACTGGCAGGGGACGAGAGGAACCGACACTTGTGCCTGGGGTGACCGGTCTGCCCACACCTTCCCGGGGCCCCCAGTCACCCTCTGTGAGTCTGGATGTTCGCTGAGCGCCTCGTCCAGGCTTTTCAGTGTAGTGCAGAGGGCGTGCCTCCTGAGGAGCCTCCTGGAGGCTGGGGAGGTGGGAGGGGGCACTGCACCCGGGCTGCTGCTTGCTGGCCCTCAGATCCTGCCCTCCCCTGTGGCCTGGGGCGCTGGACCAGTAGCGAGCAGGTGGGCCCCTGCTCCAAGTGTAGCCTTGAGCCCGGTTCGGCAGGCAGGTATCGGGCCCTGGGTGTCCTTGCCGCAGCCTGGGCGCTGGTTTCCCCCAGGCTCCCGGGGCCTCCTGAGAGCCGGGGCTGCAGGCTGTCAGGCGGCCTGAGCACGGACCAGTGGCTGTCACAGACCCTGTCCCTGGTCCACATGGAGATCCTCCTCCCTGCTCTGCCGAGAGGTGACTTAACCTTCCCCAGCCCGAGTTTCCTTATCAGCAGAGCCTAGATAAAGGCTGCCCTTATCTTCCGGGATGCCGAGAACCCCAGGAGACATGCGCATAGACACTGAGCTCAGTGCCAGGCACAGGGACTGCGGTCCTGGCCAACTCTTCTCCCTGGGGACCCTGGATGGCAGGGCCGACCCCTCCCCTGGCGGGGACCCCCTAAGGGGCCCTGTGCTCTGGTCAAGTGCCAGCCGCTGCTGCTGGGCACTGGCGACAGGAAGGACTGGCCCAGGGGGGGACCTGATTGGTGGAGGGACCCTGCCCCACCCTGGCTGGCCCCACCCCACCCTTTGAAGTGCAGACACCCGTGGAGAAGGGGGGGACTTCCTCCCAGAGGGAGAAGGCAGTGAGGGGAAGGGGCCGGTGGGGCCTTGAAGCCGGACACGGGACCACAGTGATAGCCAGCTCTTCTTACTCGTCGGCCAAGTGGTGGGGGGTGACCCCTTCCTTCCCCACACCAGCCCTGGGATCAGGCATCCCCATCGTGCAGGGGACAAAACCAAAGCCCAGGGGTTTTGGCCACTTGTCCACAAAACAGTGGCTGAGCCACGACCGGAAGCCAGGCCTCAGGAGTCCAGGCCCCAGCGGCCAGAGCCCCGCTGACCTTCACTAGACCTTCGGTCAGTGGCCCGGCCCCCTCCCTCCCACCAGCCCAGGGCTCAGCTGGGCCTCGAGGGGCTGAGGCCCAGGGGTGCCTCCTACTGCCTAGGCGTTTGCCCAGAAATTCCCAGCAAGATCAACATGGGCCATGGAGCCCGTAGGTCCCAGGCTGTCCCCTCCCCAAGGCGATCAGGAAGGCCCCTGCCTTTTTCAGGTCGCTGCTCTTGAAAACAGTCGGGTTACAAACGGATGTCACCTTCACCCACCACGGGTCCCGCAGCGGGGGCAGGATAGCACCCAGCGTCTCAGGGCCGCCGCGGGAAGGCAGGCGAAGCAGCATGAGCGTCCAGGCAGAGCGCGCACACCGGCACTCTGCAGGAAGGACGGGCCGTGGGGGGGGCCTTCCCGCCCGTGCACCCTGGGGGGTCCCAGAGCCCACAGTGCTGCCCAGATTCCCAGCTTCCCTCCAGCCCAACTCCCCAGCTGCGGTCAGACTCACTCCTGCTCCGGTTTGGTAATGAGCCCGGAAGCTCATCTAGAAATCCTTTATCTACATTTCCTCTTAGAAAAAAATATACAGATTTGGTGCCCTGTGGAGTCCCCAGGGTCAGGGTCTTCATGGGAAGGCAAGAGAGGGCACAGGGCAGCTCCCCAAGGCCGTCCACGGTCCACCGAGGGCTTCTGCTCCTCCGGCCCTAGAGCCGGGCTTCCCTGAGGTCAGCCCCGGGGCCCTGCGTGCTGTGGGCACGAGGGGCAGGGGCTGGGAGGTGCTTGGACCGTCTGGCCATCAGGAGCTGGGTTGGCACCACGCACAGAGTGGAGAGAACGTGCCCGAGGGCTTCGTTCAGGAGTGGGGGGCCCCCGCAGTGGGGCCAATGGGACAGACGCACAGGGGGGCCTCTCCCATGCGGGCCGGGTGACCACGGACCGAGGGCTACAAGCTGTTGCTTGCGAACCACTGCTCCACCACGGCCTTGTTGTCCTTCACCCACTTGATGTTGGCTTTGGTCTTCTCCAGGGCCTGCTCCAGGGCCCGCGTGGCCGAGCCGAAGCCGGTGCCCGCATTGTTCTCCTTGAACTGCTCCAGCTGCCAGGAAGGGGAGAGAGACTCTCAGCCCAGGCTGGGGAGGGGAGTCCCGTCCTCTGTCCCCCGCCCCCAACTCCAGGGCGGGGCCCGGAATCTGGGGACCGCAGCCTGTTCTTCCCCAAAAGTGCTTCCCCTCCCCCTGGGGCCAAGCCCTGGTCTGGCGCAGAGCTCAGAGATGACAGCACCTCCGGGCTTAGACCCGGCTCCCCGGCGGAGTCAGCCCTCAGAGCGAGGTTCTCCGTGGAGCTGACTTAGACTTGGGGTTTTTAACCCAGTCACAGTCTCAACCCCATGGAGGGAGGACAGAGGGACAAATCGGACACACACCGCAGGGACCGGCCAGCCACACTCCGCATGTGGCCGTTTCCAGTCCGCAATGCACATGACCCGGCTGCTTCAACAAATAAATGGTATTTTTTTTAAAGGAGATTTTACAGATTAAAATGTGTAGTAGTCCTAGAGGTTGGAACTAAGGCAATTAGACAAGAAAGGAAGAAGTGAAACTGTCTCTACTTGCAGATGACGACGTGATTTGCATAGAGAAAATCCTAAGAAATCTACAAAAGAAAAATCGTATTTAAACTCGTGAGTTCAGCAAGGTTGCAGGACATGAGCAATGTGTAAAAACCAATTGTATTTCTACACACTAGCCGTGAAGAACCCTAACACGCAGTTAAGAGAACAGCTTCATCTACAGCAGCATCGAGAAGAATAAAACACCCAGGAGTAACTTCCACGAGACAAGTACGAGACTGCTACGTGAAAACTATAAATCACTGCTAAGAGAAATGAAGAAGAGCCCTGGCTGGTGTGGCTCAGTGGATCGGGCGCCAGCTTGCGAACCAAAGGGTTGCTGGTTCGATTCCCAGTCAGGGCACATGCCTGGGGTGCAGACCAGGTCCCCAGTAGGGGGCACATGAGAGGCAACCACATTGATGTTTCTCTCCACCTCTTTCTCCTTCCCATCCCCTCTCAATAAATAAAAAAAATAAAATAAATAAAAAGAAATGAAGGAGACCTAAGCACAAGGAAAAGAGACCCAAATAAATCTGTGTCAAGAGACTGGAAGACCTGATGTTGTCAGCCTGGCAATAGTCCCCAAATTGTTCTACAGACTACACGCAATCCCCATCAAAGCGCCAACGGCCCCTTTTTGCAGAGCGCGACACGCAACCCTAAGATTCACAAAGAACGTCCAGGGACCCAGAAGAGCCAAACAATCTTGAACAGGGACCAAGTTGGAGGACTCACGTTCCTGATTTCAACCCTGACTACAAAGCCACAGTGACCACGACAGAGTGGCGCCGGCACGAGGATGGACGGACAGACCGACGACGCAGAAGGGAGAGTCCGGTTGACCGGCGAAAGAGAACTGAGAGTCGGGGGGTTTGCAACGGGGGCGCCAAGGCCATTGGATAGGGGACAGAATGGTCTTCTCGGCAAACGGTGCTGGGACAACTGGGACCACCCACAAAACCAAGCGAGCAGCGACCGAAGTCCTCCATGTAAGACCGAAAATGAAAAGGCCCTTGGTAAACACCCAGCGGTCAGTCGACCTCCGTGACCCTGGATGAGGCCACAGCTTCTTAGACGTGGCTCCTGAAGCACAAGCCACAACAACAACAAGGAAGCAGAGAGGTGGGCTTCGTCAGAGCAAGAGACTTGTGTATCAGAAGACACTGCTACGGCGACGTGCGCATAAGGGGACTACACGGTAGTGGGAAAAAAATACAACAAAGGTTTAGTTAAAATGAAGAAAAAAAATAAAAAGGACACTACTGGCCCCGGCTGGGCAGCTCAGCTGGTGGGAGCGGTGTCCCGATACCCAAGGTTGCAGGTTCGATCCCCGGTCAGAGCACATAACAAGCAGCAACCAATGAGTGCATCA